TAACCATGCCTCTCTCTTCAGACCACACCTAAAAAAAAAGGTCAGGGGTCGGCAACCTGCGGCAAAGGAGTTCTGGAGCTTTTTCAAAAATTTTATGAAAAACTTAACATTTTTTTGTTTGTTTTAGTATGGTGTGCAGGAGGTCAAACAAAAATTAATTAATGTTTTCCAATGCTGTAAACATTTGTATTATAAATAAATTTAAACAATAATTGGCGTCATAGCCATAGAGATCAGTGGTCATAACTTGGAACCACCGTGGAGCGGTGCCAGGCAAACAAAGTGGTGGGTGTGTCTCGGACAATGGATCCCAAAGGGGAAAAAGGAAAATAGTTGATAAGAAATAAGGATTCAAATAGACCGAATCATTTGCTTTCATTATCAGTGCAGAAGGATTGCCTGTGTTTTTGCTTTGTAATGAGAGGTTTTCAAAAAAGAAAAAGAAAAATTTGGAAAGGCATTTCCAGGGAAGGCTAAATCTGCAGCCCACCACCAAGCTGGGGGTGAGAGAAAAGGTGCGATTGCAGGATAAATTAGAGGAGCGCAAAGATAGATTTAAGAAGTGGATTGCATTTCCAGACTCCACTACTGCTGCTAGTTTTGTTGCAAGAATGGAAAACCATCCACAGATCAAACAGGTAGCGCTTTGATGCAGGTATCTGAACTTTCTTCCATTTTTTCCCCAAATCCTAAAAATATTAATCAGACCAAGGAACGATGGTGACGGAGGATGTGGGATTTCGGGGTTAGAGAGCACAGCTCTGATGTCACTTCCTGCTTGGTTCCTCATGACTCAATAAACTCCTCCCAACAGAAACACGTCCACCATAGAAAGATTTCTTTATTGTGTTTCTATAATTTCATCACTGCAAGAAAAACCATGCAGTGAAGGTGGTGAAGCGGCGCTCGGTGAAGCGGTGCGCGATGGGAGCGTTCACTGTTCCTCCGTCACCTCAGGCTACTATGTGACATTTGCTTCAGGATAAACATTTAATCGTGAATGCTTATATATTTAAGCCCATATACTCCTTTTCTATAGTGGGATAATACGCTTAGAGCCTGTGTTGCTATACGAGCCTTATAATAAGGCTTTTACATTTTTGCGGCTCCAGACAGATTATTTTTTGTTTTTTGGTCCAATATGGCTCTTTGAGCAGTTTGAGTTGCCGACCCCTGGTCTAGGTGTTTGGATGTTTCCGAGATCGAGAACAAACAATCCGACGCTGAGTGCTTGTGACACGAGCTAACGACAACATAACAGTGGCTAAAGCATTACATTGACAGCATTGGCTACTTGAACATACGGTACTTACTTATCAGAGCCGGAGAGTGAGTACAGAATAGTGGACAGGGGTGGAGGTGGAGGCGGCTTAAAAATTCCTTGCTTTGTAGGTGTCCAGCTGGGTAGTTGCTGGCTAATCGTGATGTCATAACTAACAAAAAACACACGGGAATCACAATATGTACCGTATAGAGCTAATCTGACAGAATGTTAAGATATACATGGCTTTGACTTAGGTAGCGTGACTGAGTTAAGGAGCCAATAATGGACCACGGACCGAGTTTGTGATTGGTGGGCGTTACTCATCTATTTCACACTGTAGCGGGGGCCTTTTTTTTTTTTCACCTCCAGACCTTCTATTTCACGGCTGTGGGGAGATATTCAAGCCACATGGTAAAAAATGCGTCAGAAAAGATCTCCTACTACACCTTTAAATGTCTACACGTGTTGTGCATCTGTATTTAACCCCATTTACTTAAATACCAGGGATGCAGGATATTGGGATTTTGGCCGATATCCGATATGCCGATATTTTAAAACTCATGTAGCCGATAACCGATATCGATACCGATGTTAAAGCTGGACAAAAATAAGTAGTCATTGAAAATAGCAGTTTTGTTATCCATTTCTGACACTTTGAAAAATAATATACTCAAATATATTTTCAGATGCTGATATCAAATTGATTTTTAAAAACGCGGTATCGATCTATTTTACTTTCAAAATCTCGTGAAATTTCATCGTTCTGTTACAAACTCTCGTGATATTTTGCAAATTCTTGTGAGATTTTGTTAGTAAAATAGATCGATACCGCGTCAATATATCAACATATAAAAATATGGCAACATTTGGTGAATTTTCGGGGGATTTCGTAGCATAACGATGACATATAGCAATATTTCATTAGTAAAAGAGATTGATATGGTGTTTTTAAATGGCAATATATCAGCATATGAAGATATTGAGATATTTTAATGGATCAATATTTTTTCCCTCGTCTTTAGAAGTTTTTAAGTCTGTAAAAAGAATTTTTTGAGGAAGAAGAAAAAGTAGTATTTTATATATTTTTTTTAGACTTTAGAAACTCAGAAGCTGATCAAATATCGGGTTAAATATCGGTGGGGTGGCCGATGTCCGATATTCAGTTTTAAGGCCGATACCGATAGGGGGCCGATTATATCGTGCATCCCTATTAAATACCCATAAATAAATCAAGGGCAGCCATTTTATTTCAGCCAAATCATTAAAAGGAATCCTCTGAATTTGATTTCAGTATAAATAAAGTTGATCTGTGAGAAGAATTTAGGTCTATACTGCAAAAAATGGAATATATTTTTTTGTTGTTTTTTTTTTTTTATATATATTGACTTTAGGTGAGTAAGCTGGTTTATTCTTATTTCACAAGAATTATTTCAAGCGCATAATATCTAATTACCTTATTTTAAGGGCAAATATTCTCATTCTATTGGCAGGAAATCTTTTTTTTTCTGCTCAGATTAAAAATAAATCCAATTATTTTTGATCACTTGTTTAACTGGATGATTCCAATAAATCCACCTGCTTTGATCTGAGCTGTTTTATTGGAGCTCAGTCTGATCAGTTCAACCTGTTACTGCGAGGCGCCTCTAACTGGATTTCTTTCAGGATTAGCTCCTTCCATCCTCCTGACAAGCTTCCTCATCCCAGCTGCGTTGATGATATGAGAAAATGCTTTAGGAGTAGGAAGAGTCTTTTTCTCAGATCGCCAGAATCTCAATCAGGCATCACATCTTTATTTGAAGTACAGCTTTTACTATTTACATTAATGCAATGAGTGTAAATAAATTAAAATAATGGACCCTGCATTGTGTTGAGTGAAGTTAAGCTGTGGGTGGGGGTGTTACCCAAAGCGTAACAGGAGGAGCTGAGAGGAAGCGCTAACACAGTGGGCATATTGACCCTCTCCTATCTGTTACAGATGCCCTGCACTTCCAGCAGAAGTTGGACGAGACTACAAAGCTGCTGCGCAGCCTGCAGGAAGCACAGAGGGAGCGCCTAAGTGCCAAGCAGCCGCCTAATATGATCTGCCTGCTGGCCCCGACTGCCAAGGAGCTGGAGCTGGGTAAGAGCCTCTGGCTGCATGGGCCCCTTTGTTCCTCCACGCGGGTCTCGCCACCAGCTGCAGACCTCCAACCCTTCGTTTACCTCCTCCCCTAACACAGGTGTAACAAAGTGATATGGGGCCCCATTTCCCAGGGATATGAGATGTTTCCCTTTGATGTGTTTCATACCATGTGGCCTTTTCAGGGAAAACATCCCCCGTATTCAGCGTTTAGCTTATAATAAAAAAAGAATTCTGACTGACTGTATCTGCTCTAGGCTGTTTTTAATCCCCTGCTGTCTGCCTTCTTGTTTTTTTCCTGCACAGCTGAAAAGGTTACAGGAAACCTGACCGAGCTGACCGGTCAGGTGGCGCCATGTGATGTTAGCAGCGTCTACGGCATCAGGAAGGCCATGGGCATCACTGTGCCTCCAGAGCTCCCAGAACCCCTCATAGACCTCACAACAGGTAAACCAGCATCTATCACCCCAACTCTAGTCATAACTTCAGGGATCCTCTTGATCAGTTTTGGTTGTTTTACTGTTTCTGAGATCTGGATCCAAACCGAAGTAATTTCCCTCTGGGATTATTAAAGTATTTCTGATTCTGACAAAGTTTAAATATCAAGGAACAGTTTTATTTCCATACATTTGTTCCTATTAAACATCCCCTAAAGGCGTTCTTCCTCCTGTTTGCTTTCTTTCTTCTGTACTTCCATCTTTGTTTTCTCCAACATGATTGAAAAGTAACAGAAACAGGACCATATAACACATATCAACAGAGATTTCACAGCATTACAGCCTTATGTTGTAAATAGGATTAGAAGTGGTAGGAAAGTGTTTTTTTTTGTTGTTTCTTCTTTCCTTGGGTCCTTTTCCTTCCTCATTTCCCTTCATTTTTGATGGCATTAGTCTCCCTTTTTATTCCCTCTGTCATACACCTTTCCTCCCCTTTGTTGTTCCTTTTATTCATTCCTTCCTAATATTTCCATAACATGTCTTTTTTATTTTCTCCTCAGATTTTTTTCCTTTATGATTTTACCTTTGTCTCCTACCTTCCCAAACTCTTTCCTTGTGTCCTTCCTTTATTTTCTGATCCCCTGATGTCCTTCCTTTCCTCTCTGTATCCATTCTTACATCATTTCCTAGTTACTGTCTTCCTTTCCTACTGATCTGTCTTCCTTCAATCTTTCCTGTCAGTCTTTCCGTTTTTCCAGGATCCATATTTAAACCCTGCCTGCAGCAGAGATGTATGATCTGAATTCTTTCATGAGAAATTTATTATAACGTATTCTTTAAAGACTGAAAATGATGCAGATTTTGACATAAAATATATTGAATCTTGTTTCTGCAGAATTATTGTTCTGGCCATAATAAAAGGATTTTTTCTTCCTTCAGTTCATGAGACGAGTGAACCGATGGAGACCTCGTCAACCTTTCCGGATGTGGTTCCACTTGTTACAGTGAAATGACAAAAACCAGCCAGCCTCACTCAGTTTATTAACTTAAGTTTTGTACAAAAGGTGCTTTTTGTCTGACTCTTGTTTGCATTTCAATCAATAAACAGTTTTTTCTTTTTCATCTAAACCTCCGTCTCTGTCTAATATGAACTATAAATGTCAAACTGCAGACTTAACGAAAACATTTATTACATTCTGTCACTGTACAAAAAGTCAATGTCACATTTGTTCACAGAAAGGCCAATACAACATTATGCAACAGCAATTACAGTCGAGATGTTGGTTTGAGACGACAAGGCCACGAGACGGATTCAGAGGCACCAACAGTGTTATGGTGGCCAGAAAAATCAACTAAAATCACAGCAGGGAGGTGGTTCGCTTGCACAGCTGAGGAAATGCAGAACATTTCCCACCTTGCTGCACATTAGGAAACCAAAAGGCAGCAGAATATATATACATTTTCTGAACTGGGTTGGAATAAACAAGAGTAATGAAGGAAATTCAGCATTGCTCCTCTGAAACATGTAAGCTGTTAAAGTGGTCAAACTGCACAGCAGGAACCAGGGAATGTGACCATAAAGAATTGTACCTAAACTTAAAGGTCTGTTTAGAAAGGTGAGAAGATTGAAGCTTAAACCAGGCAGGAGAGCTGCCTTCAATACCTGAATATGAGGTGAGCGGTTCATTCAGAATACCTGTTTATTAGGCAGAACTATTCCTTTTCTTTTAAATAGGCAAACTAACAGAGATAAAGGACTGACTGAATTTGAATTTTGAAATTCACAGCAAAAGTCGTGTCTTGGCTAATTAGATAAACACAGTTTACTCCCATAAAGCATCCTTTCATTTAGTGCTTTCTGGTTAAACTTAATATCTAACAGGATCTGCAAGAATAAACTGACATTAATACATTATTTTTTTTTATCACATTCGATTAGAAACAAATAAAAAGTAGAAAAGTACATGACATTAATGTTTTTATTGTAAATAGAAAAAAAAAAGATGGTCTTCTGATAGATCTTCTGATCTAACTAAATGGTCCCACTTGTATCCACCACATACTGAAGCAGGAAAGGTGCCATTTTGTTTGTTTTTTCTGTCAGCAGGAACACGCATTAACATCCAGGCTGACGTTTGTGACGTGCGGGAGTCTGTAACCTCTTCAGCTGGCGTATCTGAGTCTATCCAGCTCTGTTGGCTGCGGCCCGGCCTCAGCTCAGCCCCATGCCTTGCTGTTTGCTCGTGTCCGTGCACACAAAGAAGGTTTTCAGCTCCCCTTTCCCTTTGACGCTGATGAGTCCTCGGCATTCGCAGGAGTAGCCCAGCTTCTGCAGCACTTCAGTGGTTTCCTCTGTTACCTGAAGGAGGAATAGAACCACAGCTGGAGTTCAGTGGGGTTTTATATAGATTACACTTAATCTTGCATTCTTTATTTTTCCTACTTAAATCTACCCACGTTATAAAGGTTCTGGAAAATGCACCCACTTTCTTTTATTATACTTTACTGAAGTGGTGGGTTCTAAAGAGTTATAACATTTACTGTTAGTAGTTTTACTGCACCATTATATGATGTCTCGCTACTCTTACCTATCTGCTGTGAGTAACTTTACTGAATAAAGAAAAATCACATTTTAAACTAAAATGGAGCAGACATGGAGTGTTAAAGTTTCTTTAAAATGAGCATTCTTTTTATACAAAATATTTGTTTTAATGTTCTATTAATCTGCAGAGACCTTTATGGTTTTTAGGTTAATATACAATAAAAGGTATATATTTTCCCTGGAGGTAATTCACCCCAGTCAAACATTAATTATATTAGAAAACAGGGTTTTACATGCTTTCTGCTAAAAAAAACAACAGTTTAATGTTCAGAAAAAGAGTTTAAACATTTATATTATGGTTTGTCGCATTACTTTAAATCGTAAACCAGATACGAAGTACTTAAGTATCCTTTTTCTGATATTTTACCTCCTACTGAAGCTTTTCTTGGAAGGCTAGTTATTACTTTTCCTAAACTAGAAATATGTTGAAGTAGTGAAGCTTTTACTTGATTACGTCCTTCTAGTACTCGTTCCACTTTTGCTTTACTGGGATTCTTATTGGTACACCAACACAAATAAGCTCATAACTGGAGAGTAGGAACTGCATAAACATCCTAAAGATTGGGTATGTATTAATATTAAACCCCATTTACTCTGATACCCAGAGATAAAATCCACAGTTTTTAACTTGGATGCTTGCAAGAAAACAATCAGCAGGTCAGAGGTAAACCTTTTAGTCAGTTTAATAAAATATCCTAGGAGTGTGACATCTTGCTGAGCGTTGTTTGTTCTGTCTTCAGAAACGAAAACAAGGACATGAACATGACCGTCCTCCTAAACTGACAAGCAAGTTAAGGAGAGAATGAACAAGAGAAAGGGAGACTGAGCTACAGAGCTAGCTCGCATGTGGAAACAAATCTACTAACAACAAAGTAGCATCCTAGTCTACCACCAAACTATTGGGAAACAGAGAAGTAACTCCTTCATGCACACGGGGACTCAAACCGAGCCATCAGCTCCGAGGCTGGTCCGGGAACCCCGGGGGACGGGGGCAGGGAGCCAGCCGGGGACGGAGCGCCCGAACCTGACCCGGTGACGGGTATGCTTCCCCCCATTTGCATTACCGGGTAGGACAGGGCCGCCGGTCTCCAGGCAACCATCGACGGGGTTCCCGGACCAGCCTCGGACCTGATGGCTCGGTTCTGCTGCGCTGTAGTCGACCAAAATCCCGGACAATTTTGAAATTCTGCCCGGAATTCAATTCAAAAGTAGGACAAGTCCGGGAAAAAGAAGATGTCTGGTCACCCTACTATATCAACAATCTCAATGTTTCAGTGAGTGAGTGCTTGTTGCTATGATGCGTCTTTGCACAGCAGCGTCACTCGTTGTAAACCAGCCAATCAGAGCACAGCTGATCTAAATATTCATGAGCGTACCATAAAAAGAAGAAACCTGTTTCATGCTAGGGCTCTTAACCAGGCTGCATTAGGGCTCATAGAACAGCAAATCTGCCATTTTCAGCCCAACCAATGTTACACACCAAATTCAGAGACCATATACAATCATTCTATGACCCCTTTAAAGTCATATATCGGTTCAGAATTACAAATTGAATTTAAAGTTTGATCAGAATTAGGGTAAGGTAACAGAAAACATTAAAAATACCTGAATCTTCCCCATTTCTCCAGTGGTTTCCATTCTGCTGGCAACGTTCACGGTGTTGCCCCAGATGTCATACTGTGGTTTCCTCGCTCCAATAACTCCAGCTATCACTGGGCCATGATTAATTCCTTTGAGGAGAAAATATCAAGTTTAGTTTGAGTTCTCTGTTATTTAATCTGCCGAGCTTATCACATTGATTAAAAAAAATTAAAATAATTTCAAAAGGGGAACGACACAAAAGACAAAAATGTTGTTCACTGCCAGATCAAGCTTGTTTTTAATGATGATATAAAACTGCAAAGATCTCTGATTGGTTTTCCTCCTCTGATTGCATTAGTCTTTGCATAGCCTTTTTAATCAGATGGGCTGCTGCCTGTTCAGGAGTGTGTGGCTCCAGGCAGACTGCAGTTTAAGCATGTGATGCAAACATAGGTTGGAATAACCGTCTGACTGTTAAGATTCATGAAAAAATGACTAAGGCAGCAGAAATCATGATTCATAAAAAAGCCCTTCTTCAGAAATTCACACATTTTAGATATTAGATTTATCGTATGATAAAAAGTCATTTAAAGCTGAAAGGAGTCACATTCTGTGGTGTTTTTACAAAAGTGTTAAGATAAAAACCTTGAGATATGTGGCTGTAACATATAGAAATAGTGAAAATGGGTGATTAGGTCTGCAAGGCTTAAACATGAACTTAATCATGATGGCTGGCAACAGAACAATAACATAATAACCTAAATATCAGTCAGTGGAACAGATCAACCTGTTAAAGTTCATTGGTAACCAAGGAGACCTGCAGTTACTGTGGCCAGCCCTACCAGCAGCATAGGCCACCATACAGTCAATAAAGCGGCTGTGCACACTCACCCACTCGAAGCCTGAAGCTGTTGAAGGAATGTCTGTTGATGCCGTCCAACTTGCCCATCATGGCGATGGCAAACTCCACCATGATTCCTATCTGAGCCTGCTGCCTCTCTGTGTCCTGGAAACACACCATCATCACAATACCTCTGACATTTAGTCCCTGCTTGAAACAACTTGTCTGACCCTGGCCTGACTCCAGCCCCCAGTCGCTATTCAAGCCCACCTGATGGTTTTCCTGCCCAGGCGTCCCGCTGAGCCCCGCAGCTGCCATGTAAGTGCTGCCAATTGTCTTGATCTTCTCCACGGCGCTGAACTTTGGTTTAGAGAGCAGCTGGAGGAAAACATTGAACATCGAACTGAGTGAGTAATGGATGCAAAATGGAAACGTCACTTTTTTTAAATATATTTTTATCTGCTGGCCAGATAGTTAACACTTGAATCGCAACAGGAATACAAATGAAACTCTCTAATTTTTATTCCACTGACCTCATCAAAATCGGCGATGATCTCATTGAGCAGCCTAAGGCATTCCAAGCCCTCCTTGTTAATATCACACTCGGTGTAAAACTCTTTGAAATCCGGCACAGAGGCAAACATCACGCACACACAGTCATATGACTTGGAGTACAGGTCCTGTTAAAGAAATAAAAAAACACATGTGAATAATCAGCTCTGGATTTTTCTTTTACTATTTTCACTGAACACATTAGGATGGTTCAGTTTTTTCTGAAAATGTGTTTTCTATGTAAAAAGTAGTCAGATCAGGTGGAATTTATCATTAATAATTTCTAATATGACAATTCCCGTATTTTACCATTTTTATTCAGTCATTTTAATCCAACTTTGAGCGAAAGCAGCGATGTCAGAAGCAGAAAATGAAAAAATCAGGGATTTCTATCAATAAAGGAGAGCTATAAAATCTAAATTGCTTTAGGTCCAGTGTGACATTGAATCAACCAGAGATAACTGAGGAACTATATTTTTGTTTAGGTTTTTGTTATCAAGTCCAAAGTCAACATAGATGAACTAATAAAGCATTTTGTGAGAACTTTGTAATTCTCTCTCCTTGAAAACTTTCATAGAAGTTCTGATTCCAGTTGCACTAACCTTGAACCAATCTGACTGCATGATCTGGCTGACTTGTCTCTGTAAAGTGCCTCGAGATTAAGTGTTGTGAATTGGCACCATATAAATAAATTAAATTAAATATTTTTATTTGGATGCATGCATAAATAAACAGTAAAAACATTATTTTTTTTCTTCTCTTTTTGCCTTTTTTAACCTGGTTAGTCTCATTGAGGTTTAAAATCTTGAAACCTGGCAAGCGGCATACAACTTACAACATATACAATAAATTAAAAACATTAAAACTCTCCAAAAAATCTCACCTAAAATGTTTACACACAAAAATAATTGATTGCAAAGATTTAAGAAGGATTTTAATTCTCTGATCTCCACAAAGGCCTTAAAGTGAAGTTCATTTCTTTAAGGTAGCTGGTGCTGAAAACCTAAAAGTTTTCTTGCCCACTTCATTTCGTACTTGGGGAGCAACAAAGGTTATATCTTCCTAAGATAAAGTCATACCCGCGAGTGAGGCGCCACAATGGCAGGTATGTGGACAGCAGTTTAGGAGACACAAGGAGAGGGTGAAGAGAAGCTCGGAGGAAAAAAAAAAAGGTGCAAAGCCTCTAAGTTGACGCACAAAATTCAACAAAATAACTTTCCCAATTATGCGCCAAAAGAGAAACTGAAGAAGCAGGAAGAAGAATAAATGAAGGAGGTTCGAGATGAGGAGGAGGAGGAAGAGGAGGAGGAGAGGGGTGACCCAGCAGGGAAGGCAAAGGTCAGATAAAATACTAACAGTAAGAAGAAACAGAGAACTGTAGCACTGTCAGAAATAACTAAGATTTAATTATATTCATCCTCCCCCTTTATAAAAACAATGGTATAGAGATGCAGTGGGCAAATATGCAAAGTGCATATGCAGTAATAAAATATTTTTCCATAAAACATGTAATCCTTAAGCTATAACGAGATACATCAGAGAGAGCAAATGGCTGCTGTGATGTTTTCAATTAATGCTAGTATGATTTTAACTTGCTATAAAGTTAATTATTCTAATATTACGATGTAGTATTTGTTAAATATAGGCATAAATAGATACTTTATTATTGACAGAGGTGAGCAGTAACCGGTTACATTTGCCTCTTGAAAAGGGTTTAGACTTTTACTGCAGCTAAATTATGACTGTATAAATGCATTTATATTATATACAATTATTAGTTATTTTACCCAAACGTTCAACCTGTCAGATATACGCCTACATGTACGTTTGAAGTAAAGATTCTTGTTTAAGCAAAAGCTTTGTTTTAATGTTATTTTTTGCTAAGATAAAGTGAGAATACAGCATCACTCCCTACTTTAAATATTGGATTCATTGGTTTATGTTGGGAAAATAGTGTTTATCCTGCATGTATCTTATTTTTTTGTTATTCAAACTTGCATGTACTTTTATATTTCTGTCGTTTTGAATTTAATATTATTGCTTTTTAACAACAAATCAGATTTGATAAATTACTATCTGCTTAAGTCTTTTTACCTCATTATTTTAACTTTTTTTCCCCCCCACCTAATTTAAATTTGTGAAACAACACACTGTGTGTTCATGTGCTCTGAAATGCTGTGTCTCTGCATATTATATAAATAATGATGGGGGGGAGGCCATGACCAAACATGCCAGGGCCAGTTTCTGATTTCATTCTGCTGGGTTCGAGTTAAAACTGCCAAAACGATCAATCCCTGCTTTGATAACAGCAAGCACACATGATCTAAACACTAAACAGAATCTATGAGGTTTAGGTCCAGAAGAAGATGAGAGACACCAGAAGCAACAATGCAGATGAGCTCAAGGAAACAACTAAACCAATCTGGCTTCCCCCACATCTTTGCAGAGGCTGATTGAATCTATTTACTCTATATCGATACAATAGTTCAGTCAAAAGGAACACCTAAGACTATCCAACTACTGAGTGCACATTCTAGACAGTGCATTGACATGTTTTGTAGACTAATATTTCAGCACTTAAAACCCTTTATATTGGTTTATCTATTATTATGAATTCCTGAGTAAACATTAAACATTATAATCGGCTAAATAAGTACTATGTTTCACAGAGAATAGGAGGCTGCTGAAATAAATTGATTCACTTGTCCAAGGATGCTCATAGAACTACTGAATTATTGCTGCTTTTAATGTAAAAATGCAAAAGTAAATTGGCATCTTTTCAGAACACTTTGTTAAAAAAAAAAAATCCCTAGCAGAGTCAGACACCTGTGAACAGAGTGTTTTGATACCAGCTTAGACAAGAGCTCTTACATTATGCATTTTACTGTTTCATTTTTTTTTTGTTTTAAGTGTTCTTCCTCTGCATCAATTATCATTTGGTGCCTAGCAACCAGATGGCTTAACCTGAAGGATGCAGCTAAAATGCTTTGGAAATCTTACCTCGTTCTTCTTGTTCTCACCGACGAACAGTGATGCCACGTGGGCAGGCAGCACGTTTTCCAGCAGCAGACGATTCAGGTTCTCCCTCGTCTCGATCTCGTCCTGCTCTGTGCGGTTCTTGTGCTTAAGCAGGAAGTCCTGCCGAAAGCAGCTTTCGTACTAGGAGGCAGACCCAGCGGGTGTTTGACTGTTAATGTTTCTAGTTGTCTTTTTCCTTTGAGGACTGAGGGAAGAGGTAAAATCCTACCTGTTTTGATATGATGAGCATGGTTATTAGAAACAGGGTGATGTAAATGCCGCTCATAATCTGCAGGTGTTTTACAAGCACGATGCAGCTGCTCAAGGTTTCATTTTTTCTCCTGAAGCAAAAGAACAACAGAATTGATTATTTAGTACTACCCTTTGCAAAATCATGCAGAGTGAAAAAAAAAATATTTTATAGGCCTGTAAAACCATTAACACAAACTATGAAATTCAATGAATTGACATGTCTTTATCTAAAAAATAAACATAGATTTAAACCAGTGTGAAACTAAGACCTGTGCTTGTTTGCAACAAGATAAGGCAGGATAACCTACTCGCTGCAGTTAAAGCTGCTGTTGAACGACTTATCGAAGCTTTCGAAGTGGTATTCCTTGCAGAAGATGATGTAGTAGTACACGACGGACACAACAATGAGGAAGACCACTTTGAGCTCAAAGCTCACTCGCAGGAAAACCCCACATGCGATGAGTGACAGGATACAGCAGCATACCGAGTACTGACAGACAGAGAGTACAGAGAGGAGACAAGGTCTGTGAGGAATACACATTCAAAAACATTTATCCTGCTTAAATATGCAGCTTATTTTCATTTAATCTTTATACTTTTAATAAAACGGAAGTTAAAATTCCAGTACTTTGCAAAATTATCTTTATTTGTTGGATTTTTCTTTCTTTACAGCAGCAAACTTAAATGCATTTAATTGGAATTGGATTCAATAGACCAATACAAAGTGTTGTGTTATTACGTTTAAAAAGCAAAGACATATTTTTTTTAAATCACCAACAAAATCAGTACAGCGGATATTTATTATTTATTAGCAGGGGCAGGAAGCTGGTCAGACTTGGCAGGAGGATGGAGGGAGATAGATATCCGGTGTAGGTAACAGATCTGCTCTGTTGGTCAGATCTGCTGAGCCCTGCACATGTTAGAGACGTTATGCTACATGATTGGCTGAATGTTGCCACATGACTTTAAACATCGGGTTGCCCAGACAACGATAAAAATACAATGCATCATCTATGTACCAAGTTGGGAGCATCACTAGTGTTCATCTGTAGCTAATGAGTGATTTTATTTTACCTGATTGATAACAAAGCGTAGACTTTTTGTGTCACCTTGTTAAATCGCAGAACTCAGTCTGCCTTAGAAGGCGGTTCTTTCCTTCAAGATTGACAATAATTGTTTTCTACTCTCGGCTACTTTATATCGATGATGAAATGTAAAATAATAGCAAATATGGGTAACAATATGTTGAGACTCCACGAGGGATCTGATTCTTAAGAAACGGGTACAGTTTGTCCGAATGGCGTCATAAGAAGAGGCTCGGCCCAGAGCAGATCTGGTGCCTACACCTGCAATCCTGAGTAAATATGCAGCTCAAATTTTAGTGGAAAGACCACTTTGTCTAGGGGTTGGTGAAGTATCACAATGTGGAAAAGTTCAAGGTGGTTGAATACTTTTTCAAAGCACAAGATGAGCTGGTTGGAGTAAAATAATAATTATATAATTCATCTATCAGGACTATAAGAAAGCAAAAAAGTCAATGAATCTTCCACTCACGGGCAGTGACAAGTCAGCTCCGTTCTCCTGATCCATATGGGCAAAGCACTGCCAGGAGGTAGAATAAAAGAAATTGACAAAGAACCACTGGACAGCATGTTTTAAAGTAAAGCATGGAATCTTAGAATTGAAAATCAGCGAACACAATGACCTTGTCTCAAAGCCTTAAAGGAATAGTACACCCAAAACATGATTAGCCTTCATTTTCTACTCACCCCCATGCTGAACAACACTCTGGAGTACTTTTTTGATATCTCAAATGCATCTGGAGATCTGGGAGGCTTCTTGCTGTCTGCTGACATTCAAATAATGGAGGTCTATGGGGCCCGAGACAGAAAGGTCCATAAAAGTCCACAAAAAACGTGTCAATATTCCTCCATACTGCTCGTCCAATGTATTCCAAATGTCCTGAGTGGGTAGCGTCCATAATTTACTCGAAACGAAGTCATTTAGAATGTTTTTAGAGCATAAACAGTGGTGTATAGGATTTCCTAAAAGCGCGTTCACGAGTCTACGGAAACCGCGGCAGACCAAACCAGATGAAAGTGCGCATTCAGCTCGGCAAAGAACTCATGCTCTTCCTCAACACTGAAGTCCTCAGACATTTTTCTTTCGTTGTTTCTTTCTTTGCACAGGTAAACAGCACATTTCTTCTTCTACGCTTGCATTATCGGCAGAGCAGACGCTGAATGCGCACTTTCATCTGGTTTGGTCTGCCGGCTTCCGTAGCGTCGTGAACGCGTAGGCGCGCGCTTTCAGGAAATCCTATACACTACTGTTTATGCTCTAAAAACATTCTAAATGACTTCGTTTCGAGTAAATTATGGACGCTACCCACTCAGGACACTTGGAATACATTGGACGAGCAGTATGGAGGAATATTGACACGTTTTTTGTGGACTTTTATGGACCTTTCTGCCTCGGGCGCCATAGACCTCCATTATTTGAATGTCAGCAGACAGCAAGAAGCCTCCCAGATCTCCAGATGCATTTGAGATATCAAAAAAGTACTCCAGAGTGTTGTTCAGCATGGGGGTGAGTAGAAAATGAAGGCTAATCATGTTTTGGGTGTACTATTCCTTTAATCATGAGCGTTGTCCTACCAGGTTAAACAGTGCCAGGACAACGATGACGGCAGTGGTAACGGTTGCCAGAGGGAGGCGCACAAACGGCCGCTTAACCACCGCCTCCGATACAGCCGGCAGCCACTGACACCCTGACAGCTTGCGTGGAAACAGGCGCTGCAGTAGATAGAGAGAAGTGAGATAAAAAAAGGTGAATTCATGTGAAAGGAGCATGTGACTTTCTGCTCAGTCAGCCTTCAGCAGACATCATGTTTGACTGACTCGCAGCTGACTTAGTAAGAACCAGGCTGGAGAAGAGAACTGCTGTAAACATATTGTCAGACATCATTTGAACATAAAGAGTTTTTTCTAGGTCATGTTTCCATTTAAATATTTCAACTCAAGCTATTTCTAAGCGAATCTCTATCTTAACATTCTTCTGATGAATGTAATTCTTCTCTTCCTTCACCAGCGGAAGAAAAGCATGTAAAAAAAGATTTCTACAATTACAAAATCACCTAAACAATAAACCTGTAAAATATAAAATCAGTTTTTATTCTATTTAGTGCTGATGAGCTAAATGAAACTATATTTATGTAATTACCCTTTTTATTATATATAAAAAAATGAAAATGTGTTAAATATGAGCACTTGTACATAGCCACTGTTATTATCTTGTTTTTTTCTTCTCATTCCTTCTGAACCTTTTAAAAATGTTGATTTGGATCATTCCAGAACTGAATCGAAAAAAGAAAAACAAATGAAAAAAAGAAAATTTGCACAAAACACAACTGCAAAAACCAACGTTTAAATTTAACTGCTTCTGATTGGCTAATCTGTCCATCAGAGAGAAACAGAACTACCAAACTAGAGAGTTGTTTGTCAATAACTTAACTTTTAGTACGTCTATCAAATATTGGTGCAAAGATCCCTGGTTTTGATTCTCTTTCTTGTAAATATGAAAATCTGCGAATGGAATAAGTATTTTTGCCCTCAAAATATGATAATTAGATATTAATCGCTTTAAAAATAAGATAATTGAGTTGTTGTTTTTTTTTTTTTATAAATCATCTCTGTCAACAGGCAATTTGTCTTCCCTACCTGCTTATATCAAGGTAGATACAGTTATTTCAATAAAAATTGACTCACTTAGATTTCATTGTTTTGCTTTGTAAAGTGTTAATTCTACACATGTTTACAGGTGTTTTGATTCCCCTCTGTAAGCATGATATTTGAAGGCTCGCAGCAAAATCTCGTACTGAAGAGTCAGGATCCCCTCAATGTTTAATCAAATTTCAATCAATGATTATGATTTGAAATTTCATCTGCACTCTGCTTCAGGAAGATAACTGATGAAAGTATAAGGACAAAAAGAACAATGCTGCATTCCCTTTCTCATATAATTCTCTTGTTTGGCCTTAACACAAAAGCAGAGCAGATCCCTTGAAAAGGACTCACGCAATTTTCCTTCTAATGCACCAGAATATTAAGTTTGATCAAAAGCGAAGCACTTAAGTCATGGACATGTAAAGCAGAATGGATTTGTAACGAAACAAAGGATTAGAACATGTTCTCTGCTAAAAATGACATCCCATTATTATACTATCCATCAAGGTATTAGGACATAATGCACATGTGTAGCTAAGCTTTTGGGCCCTTCCTTTTTTCTACAAACCGAGATTTTGGGGGAAAAAAAAACATGATAAACTGCAAATTGAACGGCAAGCCAATTTAAAGGTAAAATTAATCATACTGACCTGCAAATGACCTGCATAGCAGATGGTCAAAGTCAGCAGCAGAATACACAACGACACTCCGAAGAACTTCGACAACCTCTGTTTACTGGCAGAGAAAAAAAATAAGTCAATGTTTAAGCCACTGAAAATTACATTTTATGGAGTTCTTTAAACAATAACAGATGATTGATTTCAGAAAGCACAAAACAAAAGCCTACTGTATTTCTTTCAGAGTCTGACACAATATGATTAGAAACAAATTCAAATAAAAAGGGAAGTGTGGTGTTACTTACTCTGTGACATTGAGCATTTGAATCACGAAGATACAGAGGAATATGAAGGTTGCACAGGCAACATAATGCTTGAACATCGGTAAATCCAGGGCTCGGTACTACGGAGTGGGAAAAAAGGAGCATCCTTTCCATTAGAGGGTTTTAATTATGTATTTCAGCTTTTATATTATAGCAATTTCAATGATTATACAACATTTAACTATGTTTTTTGTTTCCCTGCTTCATGCATTCCCAAAATTAATTGTGATATATGTTAAGGTAAATAAGATAAAACTGAATTTTCCCCACATTTTACAAACAGCTGATTTGAGATGAAGTAATTAATTCCCAGAACACAGATGGTAAAGGAAACGTGACACTGTTAGTGCTATGCTTGACAGTTGTGACGGTGTGTTTAGATGTTATAAGGCTAAAGAGAAAAATGTGTCTGTTTTAAATTTAAAACACTTGAAGGCATTTGGCTTGCCCTCTTTTTTTTTTTGAGAAAGATCCAGTCTACAGGTGTCAAGTGTGGTAGCGGCAGTATTATGACGAGGGCCTGGTTCTCTACCAGTGGTACTGCTGTGTTCCACAAAGGGAGCAAAGATTTCCTCTGCATTATTTCCTCCATCACCTCGATTCACCAGCTTTAAGTGTAACAATTTGAAACAGTTGATTTTTTTGGACTCTGCATTAAGTTTATTTCCATATAACAAGTTGAACTTATAAACAAATTCTCCCAGGATAAACGGTCCACCCTCCAGTCTGAATAATGCTAAAAGCGTATTGATTGCAACAAAACCTTACTTTGATGGAGAACTTGCTCAGCAACATTTAACAAAATGTTATTGACTGTATACAGAAGCTCTAACACATCAAAAGCCCAAAACAAACATGCAGTTTATGTAGATTGACTGTTGAATGTCATAAAAAAGAACTTAAAGTCAAACCAACCTGTTTTTCTACATCTTTTTTTGGAAAGCATAAAGCTGAACTCCCACTCTCTTCAGAATTCGACCACTGCCTGTGAGAAGAAAATAAAGGTTAAAAGGAAACTGAATATTTTGAGGTGTTTATTCTAACATCATGAAACTGGGCAGTTTTTAAGATGAAAGGACTGTGACTTGTAGGGGAAATGAATGACAAGAATCCACCATGATGCTTCTTTGCTGCAGACTCTCCATTTATACATGCAGAATGAACCGCTCTCTGTTCTTTAATCAATAAACATGATCCTTAGTGTTTCCGGGAATGTCCAGATACAATTACATAGGGGGTCCTGTTAGATGCCAATAAGACCTTCATGATGTGTAGTGACTGAGGACTGATCAGCAGGCTTTCTTTGGGACTGGATCATGGAAAGATGTGTTCTGCAGCAACCTGGGGTCTCATGTTAGAATAAGAATTAATTTAATTAGATCATATAAAGTAAAATGCATTGCTGTTAACTGGACAGACTCTGATGATATTACCTGCCATATAACTGCAGTTTGTTGATCTTTTATTGGTGTAGTTAATAAATCAGTGTTAGTGACCTGATAAAGTAAAAGTCGACAACATCCCATCTTCATTTCTGTTCACACTAAATAAAAACAGAGTTTTTTTTTTAAATATAAAAAAACATGTCTTTGATTGCCTGTCTGCTGAAAGCCAATAACAAAAACAAAATATATTGCATCATTCTATGCAATATTCCTTTGCTTTTATACATTTTCTGCAGATAAGGATGAGCCTGTGTTGACCAGATGGTGCGGAGCAGTTTTCTCACATTTTTTCAAAAACCTCTATTTGCATTTAAAAAAAAACAAAATCCCCAAATGTAAATTTTTTTCTTCAGCTGAGCTGAACGTAGTGAGATTTCTCCATTTCAACTGCACTCTCCATCTTTTTAATCGTGGGCTGTTTTCTGTATTCTGGAGATTTATATTCACTTCCCATCAGAAGGTGATTTTTACCGGCACAATAAAAAGACTCGATCTAAAGGATCTAAATGATCAACCAAAGATATGCTGTAGAGAGCTCAAAGAAAACACCAAGACATGAGGTTGTGTTACTTTACCACCAGCCAATAAAAACAGCATGGACCATTTCTCAGCAGTTGATCAAAAACCTGCAGCAGGACTAAATCTATTTGATTTACAGCGTCAGACCCCAGACACGCCTTCTACGTCTAATCTAAGGCAGCGCCACAGCAGATGCCAAAAACACCAAACTGAAATGTAGAGGTCAATCATCTTTAGTGTATTTCCCCATCCCAACATGGGTGGATTATTTTTCAGAGCTGAAGCAGCCATCTGCAGGTTAAGCTTCATTCATTTTTTAACATGTGCAAGTTTTTTAGCAGAACACATACAGTAAGTCTGTGTTTGGCTTATATACCATGTACATACCTAATTCAAAAAAGTAAAAAAAAAAATAATTCACTGGACTTTGTTTCCAAGTTTGAAGATGTTTTGCTTCCCATCCAGGAAGCTTTCTCAATTCAAAGAGAAGCGATGGGAAGCGAAAGGTCTTCAAACATGGAAACAAAGTCCAGTGGATTGTTTTTTTTAACATTTTTCGAATGACTATGACCTGGATGACTGAGAATCTTCACTAGCATATTTACATACCTAAGATCATCACACTCATTTTGATGTCAGAAAAAGATAATCCAAATAAACACAAATTACAGTTTTCAAATGATTATTTGGAAAGTTTTAATAGAAACGATACCCAAACAAAGCAGAATCTGTTAAAAATTGCCCTAGAAATCGATATTTGCCGCCACTGGGGATACAAACTGCAGTAAAGCATTTGTGATATCTAGCAATAACTCCTTTATATCATGTGCAAAAGCTTTTTAGAGCGGAAAAAGCTTTATAAGCAAGTAGTGTTTAATACGCATGAGGGAATTGCTTTGTTGGTAAGGTGCTACACATATATATCTCAGTCCGTTAGCTTCTTTAGCCATCCAGAAGGGAACCTGCTTAAGGACTTTATATCACTCTATTGCTGCATAGTCCAAAGACAACTGAGCTTGGGATCACAAACCGATAATTGGACATTCTTTAAGATTTTGTGGTGGAGAGAATTTAGAGTTCCAAGAATTTACGAGTTTCCGCGGTCCTGGAGAAGCACAGCACCCTCAGACCTTCACATCATCACCACTATGTTTGACTGCCAGTATGATGTTTTTTTGACAGAGGGTTATTTTTACATCACGTTTAACAGGATCCGCAACTTTCAAAAATGAATCATGCCTTGTCAGTCTACAAAACATTTTCTCAAAAGTTCTGAGGATCATCAAGATCAAGTTGTTTGCTAAATGTGAGACAGGTCTTTGTTTTCTCTCTGGTCTGCAGAGTTTTTTTTACCCAGAAACCCTCCAGTAAGTCCTGAACTCTGAACTGCTTTAGATGTTTTTGTTTTATGAACTCCTATCGATGCTTCTTTGGAGTTTTACATCAGTCCAGCCAATCTTGTGAAAGTTCTGCAGCTCCATGTTTACCCATTTGTAAATAACACCACTTGCTTTGAATAACGTGATTCTGGCATTTTATTTTCACCCTGGTTAAGAAAAAGTGTTAAATAAATATGTCAAAATATCAAAAAATAAAAACACATAAAGAGGAAATACTTCTTAAAAGCACTATATACTGTAGAAGGACATTTTCCATATAAAACATGCATCCTTAAGGTTAACACAGATTTTGCTAAACAAGTATTTTAAAGGGTTGATGTTTACTTTCTCTCCAGTTCAAATTTGGCAGCTATGTGCTTCCTATAAAAAAAAAAAAAAAAGCAGATTTTTTGACTTTCATTTATTTCTAAATCAACTCCAGACTCCTCACAGTACATTAATAATGATCGTAATCAAATCTACGCAGATTCAGCTCTTGTTCCCTACAGGGAACATGTTGTATATTGTGTATGCAGTGAGACGCTATCAGAGCAGAGTGTGTTTATGCATACAATTATACACTTTTAAATTATGATCGTTCTTTGTTTATTCCTTTGGATCTAGATTTCCACCACAAGTTCAACATTGCCAAGCCTAAACCCACTGTGGTTAACTCTTATGTTAGGATTTCTTAATCAAACCTAAACCATAACTACTCAATGATATACTTTTCATGAAGCTATGCACACATTTCCATATATAAATAAACAAACTCCAAAAGGAAGGACCTACTTGCTGCTGAGCTCGTCTATCGTAGTGGTCATCTCGTTGTGCAGCTGCTCATCAAACTTAGTCTTCTGGGATTTGATCCTGCAGCAGAGAGCACAGGACATAATTAGGAAGCAGCAGCCAGACATACTTTGAGGCAGACAGCCACATCCGAACAGAATGAAGGAAAACTAGATCTGCATTGAGGTCCATTTTGGAAACATTTTGGTTACTTCCAGTAAGAGCATTAGTGAGAAAATAGCAATCTAGTTTGTGTCTGTGAGAAAATTTAAAGCAGGGGGGAGGGGGAAATCAGGGTTCTGGATGCATGACGCAGTATGTTAATCTATCCCAAAGGAATGTGTTGTGTGTCTGCCATATTTTAAACTAGATCAGAAAGGAAACAATCTGCAGATCCTGATCAGAAACAAAAGCCCAAAAAGGTGATCAGGGTTAAAAGCAGAGAGTCAGTCCAGAGCACAGCTATGGTCATGTGCTGCCCTGGTAAAAAGAGTTAGCGATTAGACAGATGTAAAGAACAATTTAAAACTATATTGGTTAGTGTACGTAGGGTGAGGAAGCATATTTACAAAACAGTAGTTCTCATCCTGAGGATCAAATCACCACAGTTTAACAGGAACAGTGTAGGGACTTTGCATGGGACTTTTAAAAGCAAATATAAAGGTAAACCCCTTGAAGCAAAATATTAAAAAAGAGATGATATGAAGACCTTATAATGTGGCATCTCTTTTTTTTTTTTTTGTTTCAAAAAAGATCAGGGGGAAGTCTACATTTTATGAAGGGATGAAATAAGCCTGAAGGCTGAGAACTACTGCACTGATTGGGTCGAGGGCACGGTGGGTCATAAAAGCCCCACTCACTTATGGTTGCTGAGTGGAGGGTTGGACAAGGAGTATGGGTCTTCAAGCGACTCATCAAAGCTGGTGGGATCCAACAGTAAGACAAAAGTACAAATGTATTACAAGAGCGCAGCTAAAACACAAGGACATGTAGAAATAGAAATACCTAGATTGGCAAAACAAATGGCTTTAAAATGTTCACACTGCTGCCATGTAGAGTGCTTCGAAAAAGTATTCCTATCTCTTGAACTTTTTTACATTTTCAGTCATTTTCATTATAAAATAAACGAAGAAAAAAAAAGTTAATGCTCTGTAAAACTGAAAGAAGAGCATCTACAAGAAATTTTCAGATCTTTTCCAAGATTCTTCAATGAATTTTGCTTTGGAGTTTGACTGGCTCCATCTGGTTCAGAGGTTTTAGCTGCACATTTTGGGGTCATTTTCCCAAATGCTAAATATTCTGCAGCATCTTTCTAGCCTTTCATCCAGTACAGTCCTGTGTAGCACTAAACAGGGTTAGACTGGACAAATTTCACCAATAGCTCACTCTATCTGAACATAAAAGCCTTTGTGTTTAAATGATGTCCCATCAAGTGGTTTTACGCTTTGTTTTTACTCTATTTGTTAGTAGATATAAGCTGTTTGAATATTTACCCTAACAGGATCACATAACCGGAGGTACAATATTGCACAAACCCTCAATAAGAAAACTAGAAAGTAATGGAGCCCAGCAAGTCAGCATTTTTTAAGTGGAGGTGTAAAATGAAAGTCCAAGATCAAGTGATCAAGAGTGGAAAAGAACATTTTAACCAAGAGGGATAAGACATGAGTCGTGCTCTGAATACAACATAAACATTGGTGTTCACCGAAGCAGAAGTTATAGCCTCTGAAGTTGCCAAATTGACATGATTAAGCAGTACCATCATATAGAATAATGTCTGCTGATTACGGCCAGTGCAAATATTTTTGTAAGGCTCAAAAAAGACAAAGTAAAAACCATTATGAGCAGGTCTGGGTATAAATGATCAGAACCGATTCCAAGCTTTCAGTTTTCCCTGAGTCTCATTTTTTTTTTATTCCTAACTCAGTCCACCGACCGGAATTAAAAAAGCTGCCTAATATCAGGGGGGAAAAATCCACATGAATGTGTGTGCAACCATCTGTTTGTGATGCAGGATTAGAAATTGTGGCTTAAAGTTAAATAAAGAAATGACCAGTCGGCTACCTGGGACACTGGCGATGGGATTAAGTAATAGAAAGGACGGAGCATATACGGCCGACATGATTATCACTGCCAGAGTCAGAGTGAGAGGATTATCTTTGACGTGCTCCACTGGTGAAAAAAAAGAAAAAAATGAAATTGTCTAGAGAGCTGTTCAAAACAAAATTTCGTTTTGTATACAGTTGTGTATACAAAATTACAAAATAAATCTGTCTAAGTCTAAGTCTGGTGTCGTGCTAAGGAAGGTTCCCTGAGGGAATCTGTTCCTCCTCTAAATCTGCGCAGCTTCTGCAGGGAAAGCAAATCCATTATTATACTTTCTTCTTAAGTCCTAACAGATTCCCGCCTTATTTCCAACTCATTCTGGATAAAATGAAAAGCACTTTAATGTGAATCTGCAGAAGTATTGAATAATTCTTGGTATAACTTCGTCCATCGCTTGTTTTAATTCATTTGGCATCTGCGTCATATGATGAAGCTAACTAACTAAACAACCGAGTATGAAATTGCACTTTTCCTCCATCAGTAAATGTAAAGCGTCACTACTTTCACGTCTAGTTGAGTGTAAATGAGGAGTAGTTGAGGATATTAGCTCTTTTAGGATGGATTCCTGCTGCGCTGCTTTTTCCTCCGGCTCAGCCTACAGGTGCTGGTCATAAAATTAGAATATCATGAAAAAGTAGATTGATTTCAAGAATTAGATTAACAAGATAAAAAAATGCTCTTATGTAAATAAGTATCTGATGCATCAGAAACTGGATATGTGTAAACGTGTTTTAATGAGATTTAAAACAATAAAGCGCCATGTCAAAATGTAACTCTGTGAAAAGAAAATCAGTTCATAGGTTTGATATTAATGTACCAGTTAAAAATATCTAAGTGATAATTTATAGTAACATTTACACAAAGTTTGATGTCAAAGGAACTCCATCTCACTGAGAAGCCCCTGTAAGATTCATCGACCAGCTTCCCAGCCCATATTAGAGAAAAACCCTGCAAAAACCCCAAAGCATAATGCTGCCACCACCTTGTGTCATGGTTGCGATATTGTGTTTAGAACAATGTTTAGTATTAGACTTTCCTCCACAAAAATTTGAGTCAATAATATGAATAAAATGAAAACAAAAAAATAATAATACAGTTTGCTTTTATCGCGAAATATTTGGATTAGACAAGAAATTATTTTACATAGAACTGTATATTACTACTATTCCTTTTGGAAACGGTTTTGGTGGGTGAAGCATGTATAGCAGGACTTTATTTTCTTGCTGTAAGTTGCAGAATTAGACTAGAATCGATTCATCAGTACTAATTTCAAAGCAACAGGTTTAACCATATTAGTGGCAACGACAGTAGACTAAGCTTTATTTGTTGATTAAGTCTAAATAATACATCGGTTCAATCCCCTTTTGTAAAATCTTTTTAATAGTATCATTTCTGGATTATCATCCACCCTGCACTATTTAGATTTCCATTGTTGCCATAGAGTTTATATAATGGTGTAACCTGATTATATCCACTTCAGTCATTTCTTCTAACAATTAACACATTTAGAGCTGTAGTTGTATTCATTGCGCTTCGTGTGGGCAGGCCTCTAGATTTTAACAAGCTGGCTGTGAGGTTTAAATGAAAGATATAAGATGAGGAGAAGTGAATTGCATTTGTAAAAAAATTGGCAAACATCATCATCGCTACATTCATGTGGTAAAATTAGTCTTTGGTCACCTTAAAAACATAACGCATGCTAAACTGTGGATTTTGAAATGTAAATATATAATGGAAATGTGAAAAAAAGAGACTGATATGAGGAAAGCTTTATAATATGGAAGTATAACAGTGTAAAGGAAAGCAGTAAAAAGATGTCAGGCAGTTATTTACTGTGCCAAGACAACAGACAATCCATTAACCTACATCAACCTTCAGCCTCGTCTGATCCTTTCCAGGTAAAAACATTACTTAAAGTGAAGCTTGTTTAATAACTATAGAAAACAGATAGATTCCATTTTAATGCAGTTTTCAAAGTTGTTTCTTTATTTTTGTAAATAATACCGATGGTATCACTATTTCTTTATTAGGCAGATGAAAGTCTGTAAAATACAGAGAAAACATGTTTATCCTGCATATCTTATTCTAATGAAAAACATAAAAATCTTGTTAAATGAGTTATAGTTAAGTTTTTGGCTCTTCTTTAAATGATTAAACATAAATAAATGTTGAGAGGGATCATAGATGTAAAGTTTCAGGTTATGACTCCCTAAATGTTCCATTCTGAATGACATTTCACCACATTAAAACAAACTTTAATGTGTTGTATTACAGTTTTTTTATTATGGACAATTTAAAAAGGGGGTATATTTTTATACTAGATAGAAAATAACACCTGATAGTTTAAATTTTAAACATTTTGCACACCATTATATTCAGCTCTCCTGACTCACTGCTTTGTATTGTGTTGCAATTGCAGCTGCAGATCTTTTAGTTTTTGTCTACCAGCGTTGTGCTGCAGAAAATGAAATGTTTGTGCTCTTTTTCTTCCTCTGGTCTGCAATAAGCTGTAGTGTTTCAAGGGTAAACATTCCTACTAAAGAAGACTGAAGGCTGATATTGAAACAAGGGGTGCTTCAAAAATGATTTTGATAAAAAAAAAAAAAAAAAAAAGTTAATCACAGCCTCAGTTTTTAAGTAAGAAATCTAGATTGTCAACAGGGATGTGTCCTCGTTTGAGAGCCACAATATATCTAATAATTTTCATTATTATTGAGATTATTGATATCTTTGTCACTTTGTGCAGAATCCTTTGATAAAGTTAATTCAATTTTAAGAAACAGAAATAGTTAAAGGCACAGTGAGTAGGATTCTGTGTGAAAAGTTCAATTTATATACAACTTTTCTTTCCATTTTATTACATATAACAAAGAGTTTTAAAACTGTTTAGCAGCAGATTTTCCTTACCTATCAGTGTTCTTGAAGCCTGTGGTTGGTCGTAAAGGAATGTCCTGAAAATAATAAGAAGATTTAATTTTTGGAATGATTCAGCTGTTTTCCCAAAAACCGTAAAAATAAAAATAAACAAATATCTGTTAAATATATGCTTATCCTAAATGGATAAATATGAGTGATATAACAGGAAAGGCATTGTGCTTCTTCTGATTACCTTGAATCGTGTCTTCCCAGTACCGATGTTGTCAGACGTAAAGCCTTCCCGGCTCTGCAGGTGGGCGAAAGGTTTAACGGCCCCCCAGGATTCAAGGTAACGGGTCATACGGACTGACGCCCTCATCTTCAGGCCATGATTTACGATGGGTCTGGTAGAGCGCTTGGTGTTCAGTGATGGATCCTTCGACTGCACAGAAAAATATTCACTAAGGCTATTTCATATTGAATTCAATATTAATATATTTTTTTATATATATATATATATATATATATATATATATATATATATATATATATATTATTTAAAACTCCTGATATTTGTTGATCTTTTTTGTGTATTTATAGATGATATAAGAATGTAAAAAAAGTCCCAGAATATATCAGTTAAGTGTGCACTTTAAGGAAAATGACAAAATTTTCAAGCACTTCAAAGATTACATTGATAAAACTGCAAAAATGTATTTGGATCTTTTGTTGTGATCAAACTAAAACGATTGCAGATTTTGTTGTTTAGAAAACACTCTTCAGCTCATTGAAAGGAAAACCAACCCCCCGAGCCTCATAACCAATGGATTTTAAAGAATAATATTTGTAGGCCTTACAAAGGCATCCATGAAATTAGATTTTTCACTTTCCGTCACATTAAAATTTTCTATGTATTTTCTAGGAACTTTGTGTGACATATTAACACTAATTAGTGCATAACTGTCAAAGAAAAGGACACTTATTTTTTGTTTTTTTACTTAAACTATCATGATCTTGGCGCTGGCTGGCTTAATTGCTCATTTCATTTAACGTTATGTATTCGGACCTTTGAGCCTGCCTGCCCCCTACTGATCTGCTTGCCTGACCTGTCTTTGGATTCTGCTGGATTCACTGTGGACTGAACCTGGATCTGCCTCTTGTCTTCGCCCTCTGGGTTATACTGACTTCCTCTGTCATCTGCTCAGATCTGACCTCCTGTCAGCTCTGTGTCCTTCAAGGCCTTGGTGTCTGGAGCTCTTTGTGTGGAAAGCAGTGCGTCTTGTCAGCTGACCGGCCGGTTCCAACCTCATTCTCAGAGTACGGACTGAACTCTAGCCCAGGTTAGTGACTCACGTGTTCAGATCATCCTCCATCAAGTTTTTGCAATCACTACCCTGTGTTTCTTCATACCAGAGTTTCCTGCCATAGACGCCCAAGCTGCATCTGCTGCAGATCCGCAAATGACCATTGTTTTAATAAAAGCTTTGAAGTTATCCCACTGTACTTCTTGCCCTCTGTTCTGAGTCATTACATAAACATCTTAAATTTTAGGATTTTTCTGATTTTAATCTGTATGATTCCTATTACTGTTTTTGTTTTACTGTTTCCTTTTATAAGTACTACTGAGCCTACTTGGCAGTAAACATACCCTTGGATCGATGACTAGGTATGTCTGGATATTGAGTTCACTTAGGTAAGGGTCTCTGAGGTGGCCGTTGCCCTCTTCAACTTCATAGGCCTTGTTGAGGTGCTTTAGAGTTGCCTCTGTGATATGGACACGGCTGAAAAGAAAAAAAAAAACAGTAGGGCATCTTTTTAGGTCACTTAGTTTGATTAATCCCTTTTCTTATCAGGCCACAATGTAATACAATCTGAAAACAAATCCTATTCATATGAATTTCATTGTAATACCATTTTTCCGAACTGTCAGAGGCTTTTGTTTTTGAGGCAGTTAGAGAAGGTGCAGTATTTATACCATGCATTATTGTATCTACGACTAGGGCTGCAACTAACGGTTATTTTAAAAATCGATGAATCGGCCGATTATTTTTTAGATTAATCGATGAATCGGACAAAAATATTTTTTATATTAACCTCTTTATTCCAAAATAAACATTTTAGACAGAACAAACAAGCACACAAGTACAGGTTGCTCATTAACTGTCCTGGTGCAATATGAAAAATAAATGTTTGTGTTAAAACTACGCAAACTTACATGAGAAATGTAGTTGTACATCCACAAAATATAGGTTACTTTGTTTCATAAAGCGCAAAAAAAGACATTTTTGTTTTTAAAAGCCCCTAAGGGGTTCAAACAATAGGCCCCCCCATTTCAACAAATGAGTTTTTTTAGACTAGAAGAGTTCTGCCTTTTAAGACAGGAAAGTATAGCAGTTAAAGTTGCTACTTGAGAAAATACTGAACCATAGAGATAAAAATAGCCCTGTGATTCAAATTATAAATTGTATTTGGAATAAAAATGAGAGAACTAGGGGTGCTAAAAAACACATCCTCCAAAGACATATATTTACATGGGAATGTGGCAGATAATTAATTGACATATTACTGATCTTGCTGGATTTTATTCTGCTTTACTTCCATAAATTGCAGGATCTTCTTTACTTTATCTTTGCCAGAAGATTTAAACTTCAAAAGCCTTGCCCTCATAATTTGCAAGTTAATTTATTTATAAAGGCTATTTTAATTATTGTGATCAATTTGGCCGTCAATCCCGGCGGATGCGCGCTTCATTTGCAGTCTGGACGCTGAAACATCCTGCGGCTCTGACTGCAGCGCTGAGAGGGACTCATGCGGGAGAACGGGGTTGGGATGGGGGAGGCGCCCCACGGCAGCAGCTGCCGCTGGAGGACAAGATTAGGAACGATACATGCTTTCACGTAAGAGTCTCCAAAAGCCGCCAGTGACACCTTAAAAAGTCGCCAGATTTGTCGCTAGTCGCTTTTTTGAAAAATAGTCGCTGGAGGGGTCTGAAAAGTCGCTAAATATAGCTACAAAGTAGCTGAGTTGGCAACACTGCACCTGCAGCGCTGGTTCGCTCTGCCGTAATTTTTTTCTTCCCCCGTTTCAGTCAAGTGGATGTGATGATGCCGGCGGCGGATGACGCATTAATCGCGCGACACAACTAATCGATGATGAAATTCGTTGCCAACGCTTTTAAAAGTCGATTTTTATCGATTTTATCGATTTGTTGTTGCAGCCCTATCTACGACTAAACTCAACATACCTGCATCATTCAGAACGCAAATACAAATCAGATCAATATCATTTGTGAATAGGACACTGCGCAGAACACATGAAAATATTAATCGTACATCCACTTTTTTGAGATTTGTAAAAATAAGCAGATGAAAGACAAAAGCATGCTTTGATGCATGAATGGGGATTATCTTTTTTATTTCCATTTATGTTGGATTTCAAACTACTGTTTCTATAAAAGAGCCTGCAGATGCTATTTTTAAATGTTAATGTCTGTGGTTTACTAAACTACAGTTAAGTCTGAATTGACAGTTCAAACCTTAAAAAAAAACAGATATTCAGTATTGGCCTGATTAGATCGTCTCTGGGGTAAAAATAAAAAATGAGCATAGGTAAGTTCCTCTAAGATGAATAAATACCAAATAATTCACTATTTGTAGATTTGAAAGCAGAAGTACTTACCCTGGGAGGCCTCCTGACTCCATATGATTGGCCAGGGTAACATCATGTGACCATACATCAAACTGCCACTTTCTGAGGCCGATCACACCGCAGAGCACATTGCCTGAGTGAACACCCACTCTCATGTTGATATCTACTCCAGTGGCTTCCCGTACCTGCCTAGAGGAGATTTCCAGTTAACTCAAATGCTCAGTATTACTACGGTATATGATTACCTGCAAACATCTACGAAGCAACAATAACAAAGGCGTTAATGTTCGATTTCCATTAATGTGCATATATTTGAGGATATTTATGTTCTGCAAGTAAGAATAGTGATTCTGGCTGCATAATTTATGCTTTTTAGGATTTAATTGTAAGGTCTTTTATGGCAGATACTGAATTAACAATGGTGCAATATTTCAATCTTTTTTTGTCGGTGTTGCAGGTAGGATTTTTATTTTTTCACACTAACAAGCAAATTACTATTTCAAGAAAAGCAAAATATTCAATAACATATTGATATTTACAGTTTACACGATGCATCTAATTACAGTAATTCTTTTTTTATTCTGATTTTGTTACATGGAGTAAAACACACAATTTTAAACAAGCTCTGATAAATTAAACACTATTTCCAAGTTTTATTATCTTATGTCTTTTTGACATTCTTCTCTTTCTAGAATAACACTGAAAATATTACAGGATGGTATTAGTAGCTTTATCTGATCTGTCTTGTTTCTCTTTGCAGAGGAAAATGTGCAGCTGCCTTCTTTCAGTCAGCTGATGACAGTGTGCATCCAGAGGTGGGGTTGGGGCTGGAAAATGAAACAATTTGGAAAATGCTGCAAGTTTTAAATTTGTAGCCTTTAAAAAGATTAAACCACCTAAATGTCTTATTTAGGCTTATATGGATAAGACAATGTTAATTAGCAAGTATTCATGTTTATATGTTTCACAGATGAAATATGATGGCTGGTAAACTCACTTGATGGCTTCACACATGTCCAGCCCCATTTTAACACAGTTCTTTGCATGTTTTGGCAGTGATACTGGCAGGCCCGACACACAGTAGTAGCAGTCTCCCAGGATCTTAATTCTCATGCATTCATTTTCCTGTAAATATTAAAAGAAATTTATCATAAAACCTCATTATGAAATCAAATGACATGTTTTTCAACAATGGATCGACCTGCTAACAATTAGCACTTGGATCCCTTCCAACTTGCAAAACAAGCTGGGTCTAATCCCAACTGGTGAGCTTGGCCTCTGTCCTCCCAAGGCTGCGTGTCTGGTGACACCATCACGTTGGGTTAGCGTTGATGATGTCACCAGTGCGACAGAAATCGGGAATGTAAAATATAGAGAGTAACATGTAAGGAAGCCAGGGCTTAGTAAGTGTGTCCTATACCTATTCGAATCTTTCTCACCAGAGCTGCGCCATGTTTAACGAATGTAAACAGATTCGTTTTGGCTTATTAGATCAGATGCGACTGGCGCGGATTGTTGACGTCCATACGTCACGCTCAAAGGTATCATGTAAATTAGCGTGTCAACTCGGGTCTGGTGTTCCCACAGCATGCCGATCGATTTTAGCACGGGTTGCTTTCCAATACGTTTGACCCAGGTAGACAAGCGTCAGTGCAGCCTTTCCCACTGCCACTAAAAGCCGGTTGTTCCTGGGTTTAAACAGGTATTTCAGCCATTGGGAATGGGGTATGAGATAAGAAATTCACGTAAGTTTTTGGAGGTTTTAAGTCCAAACCTAAAACTCCAAAGTACAGCCGTTACCCTGCAGTTCTGCTGCAGTTTTACATGCAAAATACTGCAGATAATCCTGTTTTTCATGCAGTGTTGAGTATAAACATGGCATTAAGAACGTACAGAAATCCTCTGTGAAAAACATTTCTTTCTTTACAGATGCTGTTTGGCTGGACCCACATTTTCCATTATGACGGTCTAAATAAGAGTATTTCCTGTCCCAAACTTAATTTACAGCAATAATTAGACTGCATTAGCTAGGAGCTACAATGCTTTAAAGCTTGAGCCAACTAATTGTGGTTTAAAAGCATTGACATTCAAGCTAAGAGTTTAACTCTTTAAAGGAATTTGTAGTCAGAATGAATATAACATCCATTTTTGCTCACCTTGGCAATTTGGTCGAACTTGCCAAACAGTTCATTGAGCATAATTACAAGCTCTTTAGGAGAACAGTCGCTGGCCAAACGAGTGAAGCCAACAATGTCTGCATACAGGATACTGAAAAGGAAAGAAAAAACAAAACAAAAGTAAAATAATTGTTTACCTTTTTACATTTACAAAATCATTTATCTGCTCATAAATGTATGTTTTAAGTTTTATTGCAAACTAAGTTAATAGACGAAATAAAACATCAGTCATAGTTGAGAATTGGGAGAAAAAGGACACAAGGTTTTAAAAATGACAAGTTTAGGCCTAATCAAAGTATTTCAAACACAGCCCCCTGATTGAAGAAGGTGGTTTACTTTTAGTTACTGGATAAATAATCTTTCTAAAAGAGATGTAACAGTGTTAGCAATCAAATTAAACCATTGCCTGGGATTTGGAAGGGCTGATTCTCATCCACTTCCCACTCGGCTGCGAACAGGTGTTACTTTTGTTTCCCACATGGACGTTAAGGTCCCCCAGCAGAACAAGGGAATCCCCTATCCCTCCCTAGCTGGGAGGACGACCCAAATAAACACTGGAGGAACTATGTCTCTAAGCTGGCCTGGAAGCACCTCTGGCTAACCTTAACGAGCTGGAGTACGTGTCTGATGAGAGGGCAATCTGGCAGTCTCTACTTAGACTGACGATGAGATGGGAGGAATAAAACCACCATGATCCACTGTAAGCAGTACAGCTTGTGACTCTTGGTAAGTAGTGGCAGATACAAACCCCTGGCGCACTCTCCCATTAACCTCGAAATAACCTGCTTGGTGATTCATTTAAAAGACTGTCTGCCCCAGTACTGAGTAATAGACTTAACAAAAACCTTAGAGGGAAAGTGAAATTATTTTGACCATTCGATTATCTAAATATAGTGAAAATCAACGTTAATGCTGTTAATGCATCTGGCCCCAATGGGAATTATTAGCTTGCTAACTTAAAATAAAAAAAATAAATAAAAAAAACTCAACAGAATTGTATTCTTTCCTCATAGTGTATCATCAACTGAAATGCAATCCATATTTCCTTTAATAATATAAGCACTGTTGTATGTATTGTGCTGAGTGAACTAAAGATGCAATAAAAACTCCCCATATGGTGGATGATTACAGCTACTCTTGAACCTGCTGGAAATGACCCTATGCTGTTATGTAGAGAACCACAGATGCTGCGCAGTCTTGAGTCTCTCTACACCCTGACTAAAAATGGCCAGGTGCTTTATGAGTCTGCCGACACAGCTAATCACAGCTCTGACCAGGGTAATTACTGGGAGAGAGTAAGGTATCCAGTCTGTCAGTCAACACCCTTTTACTGTAGCCTTAAATGAACAGAAAAAAACATGGGAACTACTTGTCCAGGGAAGACCTAAAGAAAATCAACTGTATACCCCTGACTTTTTTTATGTATTTTGTTTTTATCTGATGAAAATTCAGATGGAAAGGTGTTAAAAACTCTACAAAGGCTCTTTTGAATGACTGGTAAGACACCTGTCAAAGTTCACTTCAAATTACCCTAATATCTGTCAGCACTTATTAAATTATAAAATCCTCAAGCTGCAAATAAGTATCTGAGTCTCTACCTCAAAAGCAGGGATAATCATCTTAAGTTTTGTATGAACTTCATTGAGAAAACTGTTTATAGGTGCTCTTTTCTGCTTTTGCAAGCTCTATATTTATAGTTTTGTGACACATCACTAACATACAATTCTTTACCATTTAATAGTCTATTGCTCAACAAATTAAATGAGAATGTAAAATAACAAGAATTAAAGTCATCAGTGGATATATAAATAAAAGAACAGATTTTAGTGTGTTTGTGGTCATACCTGACATTCTCATGTCTCTTGACATAAAGGCTGTGAAAGTTGTTGTCCTTCACAAGTCGCTGCTGCTCGTCTTTATCTTTACAGTCTTGTAACCGCTCCATTATTGCCAGTTTCATCTTCATGGAGATATAAACAGGAAGCACAGACTGCAGCAGGTTTTCCTACACACACACACACACATTTACACACATAAAGAGAAGATCTGTTAAATAACTGTAATCAAGGAAGCATGCAATGCCTATTTAACTGGTGTGCTCAATCCCTATTGATGAATGCTCCAGACCAAATAGAAAAAAAATACTTAGAAAAAAAAGAACATTGTTTCTGCACCTTTCTGCCATACTTTTCCCATTCACTGAACTTTCTAATGACATGCGATATACATATAAACATATTCTATATATATATATTTACCCAATATTAAAACATGATTTTTATTCTCTAGAAAAGATATTGGCATCATACTTTTAATGTGAATAGAAACTAGAAAACTGTTTATAGTTCATTGGTCTAATGATGCAGAATTTTTTAAAGAGACAACTTCTCATGATATGAGTAACCTCTTGTTATGTCATTAGGAATGAATTGAGTTATATGCTCTCACTACAAGGGATGAATCCAGGCTTATGAGATTTAATCTGCAAAATCCCTTCAGATGAGCAATAACTGTGATGACATTTGTAACGTTTGATGTGCAATGAAGTGAATGTGAGAGAATAAACATTACATTCTTCTTTTGTATAATTAAAAAAAAAAATTCATTTGTGTCTTTGTTTCAAAGAATTCAGACTTTGCTGTTATCTTTAAAGTGACACTAAATAGTTGAGACAGGTTTCAGGCAGTTTTTCAAACTTGCTCCTTTATACAGATTTTCTCTCAAGTCCTTGTATCTGACCCTCCCAACACAGAGTTCAGTTTGTGCTTGAAAATGTGAGGAGGACAAAGGAAAAGTTTGTATCTTATAACTTAAAACAATAAATGTTGAATATTTTTACATTTATAATAAAATATAGTTCTATTAATTTTAATAGATGTAAGAAACATTGCAATTTTCATATTTACTAATAGAAATCCTGCCACTTTATTAACGTTTGGCACCTCTGGCTTTCCACATCTGCTGCAGTTGATCATTATTACTTACATTATTATTATACTTCTGTTTGTGACATGTTTACATTTGATCACAAAATATGATGGTCAAAATATGTTTAAACAGCACTGTATTTTTCTACAGTAGGATTGTTTATTAATTCACTCCCATTGCTGCACCTGCCTGATCCTGATGTTGGAGCGGTGGACTGATAATCATGTCAGCAAACTAGAAACAGCGCAGCCTCTTAATGATACCTGTGGCAGCTGTCCTAAATATAACTTCTTTGGGCAAAGATACAGTCCTGGTTGCAGGTCCAATGAAATGTGACATTAACAGTAAAAACTGTATTTGAAGATTGTTTTTTATTTGATCAAATAGCCTTTCAGACAATGCGGTGAACAAGCATGTGGAGGGCAGGTAAGGTACAAGCTCAAACAACAAAAAATATTCAATTCAAGCTTATTTTATATTTAAATAGATGATAATTAATTTAAACTAAGTATAATTTAATTCTATTCTTTTCATATGTAACTATTTTTTAACGTCAAATAAGGATCTTTTTCAAAGGACCTCTATGAAGTCCAAACAAGTCCTCGCAGATGCATCTAATTAAGGGTGTTACAGGATGATATACTTTGACAGGGATTAGTTAGTAGTAATGAAACTAAAGTGAGGCCAAAGGATGGCTGCGAAAAGTTTCTGCAAAAAGAAGAAATATCCTAGCGATGGTAATTTACTGATGGGATATTTCATAATTCCCCCAAAGTGCTTGTTTTACTTCAGTTATATTTTCATAATATGCAAAAGGCCTTGCCGTATACCCACAGTTCTTCACTGAAGCGACCAAGAACACCGCTTGGTAAAGAAAAAATAAAATACACAGTCAGGTGTTGAATAATTGTAGCTTACATAAGCAGAACCTTCAAGGGCTTTAAAAAAATTACACAGGTATTCTCATGTAAAGCCGTCTAATTCCTGGATAAATGCAGCTATTCAGCTGAGTCTACAACATGCCATAAAGAGATATTTATAATGTCAAGCTTTTTGTTTTTACCAACCTGTTGTCTCTTCTCTATTTCAAGCTTTACCCGCATGCTTAGGCACCTCAGAGTGTCTTGGAAGGTCTGCCGTAGCGTTTTTTCCATAAGAACCTTATAAAACGCTCCAACTCCACAGCCACACAGAAACACCACAGCATTGGACACAAGCTGTACAAAGAGACACCGCAGTAAATAACAAAGTTATAACTAAAAAAGCTTTTATTCACATTACACATAAAAAACCATGCATGTTAATTAGTTTACACATAGCCCTCTATGAAGTCTAGAAACGTAGAACATGCTGCACATCTTTATATGCAGGTGCATCACAGTAAATCAGGATATTATTTAATTTATGAGTAACTTGATTCAGAAAGTATAAGTCACTAACAACCTTCACAAGGAGGGAAGGCAACATAATGTTGTGTGTGTGATTGAAAATGGAAAATTTGTAAAGAAATACATTTTCTGTTGTTGCACTTGAATACCTAGAAAATCAGTATAATTAACGGGGAGAATCTATTTGGTATTAAACATCAGGCGGGTTTCCTCTGTGTAATTGTCTCTGTAAATGTAATGCTAATACTTGAGCTAGGCTAAAATGTATTTTTTAACTGGTTTAGCCCTATAATGCCAAATGTATCGTATTTGATACATACGGTTTCTGAAATGTTTTGCATCTGACACCTTGTACATAATTTATTGGTAAAAACATTGCTCAAAATCCTATTGTACACAACTGATATACCTGATAACAGCCAGTAGAAGACTACACAAAAAATAATCTTGACTTATCGCATAGTAATAAATTATTAATATCAAAAATGTATTTCTGTTTTTTCTTTTTACATATTTTGTTAAAAGGGCAAATAAGGAATTCAAACCAAAAAAAAGTAATTTTCTGTTTTGTTTTATTCTTGGATCTGGCTTTAAAGGGCTAACTACATTGCATTCTAAAATGCTTGAAGAAATGTATTTTGTCCTTTTATTAAAGAATTAAACATTTAAAATAAATCAGCCTGTTTGTAGTGATCCTATATAGGGCAACAGTGGCATTGGATCGAAGGGCAGATGATATCGAAGGTTTGATGGTTCAGTTGGCTTAAAGTGTTGTTGTGTCCTTGGGCAAGACACTACACCTGAATTGCCAACTGATGGTAACCAGATACAGAGCTAGATTGGTCTCAGTTTTCATAAATAGACATATGTGATTTAAATGCACAGGACATGTTACTCACACACACAGTACAAGATCCACACATGCATGGCACAAGATTCTCCAAAGTATTTCTGGTCCATATAAAATAATAAATTAATTTACAAAGTACCAGTTCTCTTTAAACCTAACTGCATTTATGTGTGGATTTTTGAGACTCTTCTTACTTTCCTCCACACACAAATGCATTTTCTTTAATAGGGAATGGTTTGCAACCAATCACAAAGCTCCCTCTTAAAAGCCAATCAAACGAAACTACTCCACGTGGGATACCTTGACCCCAGATTCCACATCCTCCGTTACCCCTGCGCCCTGCTCACATCATGTGGAGTACTTGTCTGTGATGTTAATCAATGAGAACTGTTCCAGATCCACTGCTACTCCTCCGCACATGACCGTCTACGTACTGTACGTCTTCTTGTCGTTCACCATTGAAATACGGAGCCAAGCTATTTTTTGCTCCGCTCTGGTCCCGTGGAAGTCGGCCAGGTCAAGATCCGCAATTGCAATCACACCAAACAGGAAAAAGAACGTAGAGAGGATCCGGTTTTTCACATTAAAATGTGGTAACAGATCGGTAACTACAAATTAGAGCATAATTCTTATATATTCTCAAAAACTAATTTTTTGTTTGTTTAAATTATTGGATGCAAATTATTGGTACTTCAACATACTAGGGAGCAGATTTGTCTTCTCGATCAAAATATTTATTTTATACTTAGAGGCTTAAAAGGTTCATCAAATCCCATCACAACAAATTTCAAGAGTGATTCTCACAATTTCAACAGAAACCTCTTAACGCATGTATGTCTGAAGAGAGTTTGGAGGTAGAGATCAAACCAATTTTGAATGATTATTCCTATTACAAAGACCCAGAACGAAAAGAACATTTTTGGACAGAAACGTGTAGTTGATGCTGATGGTGAGATTTAACTATGTTGTATTACATTAAGTGTTCATTACCGCAGGTTTTTCTTCCTATGAATTAAATAATAACATAGCGTATGCTCTCCTGCAGCTCCAAGAAAGTCGGAGCAGAGCAAGACGCAAGGAACCGCAGAGACTGTAGGCTTTGCTTTGCACAGGCGGTCTGGAATAGAGTAGGACGCTGATGGAAGATCTGCGATCTGGGGGTAAGTCATCCCAGATTCTTGTGATTGGCTTATACAAGGAAGCTTTGTGATTGGTGGCAAACCATGCCCTGTTTACAAAAATGCATTTGTGTATTGGGGCACGTCAGGGCAGTCTCAGAAATCCACACACAAATGCAGTTTAGTTTAAAGACCTCTGGTACTTTTTAATTTCATTTAAAAAAAATGTATGGATCAGAAATACTTTGGTGGATCTTGTGCTGTGTGTGGATCTTGTCCTGTGCATGTATGAATCACATATGTGCCTTTGTGAAAAGCTCCATAGTCAGAGGGACCGGTGGCGCCAGCGGACAGCAGCCCCGCTTCTGTCATTGAGCCCCAGGACAGCTGTGGCTACAATGTAGTTTTCTATCATCAGTGTGTGAGTGAATAGATGAATGACACAGCACCAATTGTTTTTACCTGGTAGGCAAGGTACTCTGGTGGGTTCTCTGCAGTTGCTAAATGCAGTGTGAGGGCTAGAATGTGAGACAAGGAGGTGATGACGCTGAGCACCACAGCGTGCCACAGCTGGAATGGTAGCATGGTATAAACTGTGAAGATGATAAAGAGGAAGAAAGGCACCTGGATTCGAAAAGAAGAAAAAAAAATATCAGTGCTTTTAGCACAAATATACATGTTAGTTTCATTCCATATGCAGGAGTTTTAGCTGTTGAAGGCAGCAGCTCAAAGTTTAGCCCCTTTGAACGCTGCTGAAAAGTGAGCTACCTGGTCCCAAGGTAAGACATCGTAGCTGAAGATGAAGGTGTATCCAAGGGTTAGGTGTGTGATCCAGATAACCAGGCCCAGCCAAACCCTCCATCGTTGCGAGAGAATCTCTGTGCACACCAGCAGAAACACAACTACGAACACAAACAGGCTGCTGCCCACCACACTCACAAAGGGACGATTTCCATCCGTACTCTATAGCAACAACAGGAGAGAAAAACACAAACATGTCTCATACCATATGATAATCAACTTTAATCATGTTTATTCCTTAATGTGCAAGCCATACGGGCTGCACAGTGGGGCAGTGGGTAGCACAGCTGCCTTGCAGCAAGAGGGTCGATTCCCAGCACAGGGTCTTTCTGCATGGAGTTTGCATGTTCTCCCTGAGCATGCGTGGGTTCTCTCAGGGTACTCCGGCTCTCTCTCACAGTCCAAAAACATAAATGATAAGTTAATTGGCTTCTCTAAATTCTCCCTAGGTGTGAGAGTATGTGTAAATGGTTGTTTGTCATGTGTCTCTGTATTGCCCTGAGATGGACTAGCAACCTGTCCAGGGTGTACTGCACCTCTCGCCTACTTATAGCTGGAGATAGGCACCAGTACCCATCCCGACCCCAGAAGGGATAAGCCTGACGGAAAATAGATGGATGGATGGATGGATGGGTGCAAGCCATAAAATTTCATACCATAAATCACAACGCAAAAATAAAATAATAAATAGAACCTAAAGAATTGAAGCCTTAGCAAATAGTTGCCTATCTGTCTATCAATCATTGGCATCAGACTCTCATGAGGTGATAACGTGTGTTTTTATATAATTATTTCCAAACAGCCAAATGTGTCTTTCTGTCTTGTACCTGTATCCATCTGAGTGGCAGTGTGTAGCAACAGCCACAACGTCCTCAAAACATCTGGAAAAACTTACTCTAGCATTTTTCTACATTTTAAACCAAAGAAGCACCGTTATGGGAAATTTGATTGATTTTCAAACTGTTACTTTTGTAACTTTCAGCAAACCCTGAAAAGCATGAGCCGGTTCATGTCTACTGCACTGTGAAGAAAATTTCATTTGGCTCTTAGAACTTGTTGTAATCTGATTCCAAAGACATTTAGAAACTACTACTGACACAGCTGGATTTGCACAGGCTGGGCCACATTACCATCACAAACTCCAGGTTTTGGGGATTTTAAGTGACAGAACGCGACTTGTGTTGGCACCAAACTCCAGACGTCATTAGGTGAGAGGCCTGGTACTGGCGGGACAGGTCAGCATTGAAACAAGCAAAGATCTATAAATGCTGATGCACCCATGGAGGAATTAAGTGTTTCTCCACGTAATGTGAAAATGTCTAAGTTTGACTGGAAGCTAAGGTGAGAACAGGAGAGAAAACAAGTTAAATAAATAAGTTCTCTGCTGTGGGACTAAAACAGAAAGATCTCTGAGCAGAGAAGGCCACTGCTGCATTGTATATTGAGCCTGTTGGTTACCATGGCAGCACTGGAAAAGGACATTTCACAACTAAACCCCTTCAGCTCGCACTACTTAATGAAAATTGTTTTTTGGCAAAGAAATTTTTTGGCTTTTTTTGCACCAGTAAAACAAGGCAAAATCAGTGGGACATGGACATTTCTGTTGTTTAACACAGAAAGAAAAACTGAATTTAAAGTTGCCATAAATAAAATAAACAGTGCGTAAAACCAGTTCTCAAACTTAGTTCTTTCTTCTCGACAAAGCTGTCAGTGCTAAACCTTGCAATGGTTGTCTCTCTTGTTTTAATTAAAATCTCCATTCCAAAATTTATTTTCCAACTCTTACAGGCAATTAAAAAAATATTAAAAATAAGAAACTCATGTTGTCACAAGGTAGACATTTAGGATGAAAGAAAGAGAACAAATAAAAGATAACCGCAAAATTAAAAAATAGAAAAACCTGACTGATTGATTTTAGGGGATAAACCAAGAACCAAGTGAGATTTTGTTTAGTGTGTGAATAAATATAAGCTGCCTGGGTTCTTAATAGGATGAAACAGACAATAAAGCTCTGATGAGCAGGATAGAACATCACATCATATTTATGTGCACGTGTAGTGTGTAAACATGAGGAATAGAGCTATTGCGTGGGACTGAAATAAGAGAAAAAGGGAGTGTGCCATAAAGCTTGCAGCAAGACAATACTAGGAAGGTTTGGTTCATTTTTTCCAACCCAGGAAAGTAATACAATCTATGCTGAGTGAAGATGTCAGTTCAGAGCGATGGGCTGGACTCACTAAACTGCTACTTGCTTTGAGCCAAAATCAACAGTATGTTCGTGATCAGCAGAAGCCTGGATCATAATTGCTATCTCTACACACTGACTGCAGCATTCCTTTAGGATTCCAATGATGAAGTATCATCTGCAAAGGAAGAGCCATTTAAAAGTGAGGTTTTCTTTTTGAGTTAGATGCTTAATTTTACAGCCTGACAATAGAACTGGAATATGTAAGTTTCATTGCTGTCCACCCTTACTTTCAGTTACATAATGCATCTCTCATTAACATCCCTCGACCACTGCACAGGGCAGTTGGCAACGGGGAGCTATGATGTATTTTTTTAAGGTGATCATTTGAGCTATTACTTAAAAACAGCACAGAAATAAATGAAATGCCTTGCATAAAAATGCAGCCCTTTAAGCTTTCTACATTTTATTCCATTAAATTTACAAACTTCAATGTATTTCATCCAGATTTTTGGTAGACCAACACATGATATGATAAGGGGAAGGTGAACTTTCTATGTTAAATAAATCAAATAAAATCTGAAAAGCGTTGCTTGCATCAATACTCTGTCAAAACTTTTATGCTGTTGCAGCTGCTAGTTGCTCCCTTTATTTCCATTCATTTCACCGCCTTCCCTTTTCCTGCTGTAAATTCAAATCATGATGCTGCAAAATATTTTGCATGTAAGCCATAAAAACAAAATCTGCACAAAACACGTCTCTTGAGCAGGTTTGTTAAACACCACTGATGGTGAACTGCAAACGTCAGAAAGAGTAAGCTTTTTGAGGAGTATGACTAATTATTATCCTATCAACATATTATCCTTCCTGCCTAAGCTGCTAATATCTCCAGCTACCATGGGTCTTTTAAATACAAGTCCTTACGGTCTTAGTGGGGGCTTGAAATGGTCTCTGGGACTGTGTTAAGCAATAATGAAGCCTTTTCCCCTCTATGTGCAATAAGGGATGGGAGTGTTTTAAGCTTTCATCAGATTAAATAAAATTTGCCCAACAAATCTGTGAAAATTCAACCTGATAACTGGTTATTCTGATTTATAAACTTGAGATAACTTGGAATTCTTTTGTACATTTGGCTTTAATGCAATATGGAATCACTGACAATGCCTCAGTGTGTGGTGCTGCTTATATACCTCTGGCTTTTAGCCTTTTGTGTATATAAATAGTCCACTTACTAGGAAATGCAAATAAGGGGTCAATGAAGCTGAACCAGAAGCTTTTACATAACAGACCTGGATCCAAGGTCTGCTCTTTTATACACGTCATGCAAAGCTGTGTCGTAGGGTGGGGGCATTATTTAAATTATGTTATGGATTTGTTTCCAGCAGTCACTGGTACTTGCTTTACCTGTAGCTAATGCTACGTTTAGCTTTAATCAGGCCAGAATAGTTGGGTTTTTCTGTTTAAACGTATAGCAGCTTGTTGGGTTTACTCTATAAGGAGCGTTGTGGTTCAGTGTTTTCTTCCACTTCCCAAAACGACCAAAATAGTAACGAAGAGGGTTGTTTGGTTGAAGCAGTTTAATGAATATATGAACTTGCTCAAATACAAATAGCAGGTAATGGCATTTAAATATCAGGTTAAATCAGCTACTATGAAGTTCAAATGTCACACTTTAAAGTTAACTAAAACAATCTAGAGTCTCAAAGCTTGGTGGACTGTGCTTGTGCCACAGAATAATGAAAGTCTGACATATTTATTCGTTCTAGATTTGTTTTGGTGGAAAATGAGTTGAAGATTCTAATAAAGTAATAGAAACTTTACAAGAAAAGGAAATTAATATGAGCCTGTTTTTATCCAACCACTAAACATCCACTTATCCCTTTTACATGCCTCCCCCTCCAGCCACTGCTATGATTCCATCTCTGTGGAATCCCCATCCATAGACAACTTTTGCAAATTGTCTTAACATGGTCTTCATAAGCTTATTTTAAAATGACACGCTCATTTTAACTCTCTGCTCTTCTTCATCAAACCTTTCTCTCTCATGTCTCCTACTTTGGAATACTCTTTCGCATCACATCCATGATCCTGACTCATTTAATTCTCAACACAAATCTTCCTTTTTACACGTTGCTTCTTGTTATCTTAGACAACTTAGACTTAGAAATATCTGTGATATTAGTGTTTCTTTTACCGTCTAACTCGCTGTTTTGCTTTTATTGTTGTTTTTAATTTTTAGATTCTTTCATTGTTTAATTTTTTGCTGTTTTTATATCTCTTTTGATTGCTGTGCTTGAGGGGTATGAAAGGTGCCTTTAAATAAAATGTAATTAAAAGTAATTGAATCAGCTAATAAGACAAAAAATGAAATTAAATAATTTTGGTCACTAATTAGAGACTTGTTGAGCAATTATACAACGGTGTGTGGAAAAGTTATTCATAATTCAATACTGTATATCGTTCTTTTACTCATTTAATATATTCATTTAATTTCTATTATAAATGTCCACATATGTAAATAAGAATTTAACAACTAATCAAATCAGCTCACTAAGAAAAATCTACAGATAAAACGCGAATATTTTAAACATAATTCCACGATATAATCCATAATTTCTAAAAATATCCATCAGTCACTTCTGCATAAGTGGCCCCTGAATAAAAGAGATACATAACAATAACACAAATAGAGATTTTCTTTTTCAAGGTAAACATATGTGATTTATATACACTTACACAAATCTATATATGATTCTTATAAATAAGAAAAAATAAACTACATCATGACTCACCAGCGAAAGGGCAAAGAAAACGATGAGGAAAATTGCACAGAGGAGTATGGAGAGGCCCAACAGCATCAGTGCCAGCGGCTGATACTGGCTGATGCAGGAGAATCTGCGGTAGAGCGCCTCATTTCTGAGCTCCTGGTTATTCAGCAGGTACTTTCCCTTGGCTGGCATGGCTAACGCTTCCTACAGGGGTATAGTGGGTGTTAACAAGGAGGCGCAGATAGCAGAAGTGTGTCTCTACAACTTCCTTTGAATAAGAACAACAAGAGCTGTTTAAAAAAGGAAGCAGAAAGAATAGACAAACCTTTTCTTGGTAGGAGCGTGGAGCTGGCTCATGACAATCAAGTAAAACTTGTGTCTTTCCTTTGTCGTGGCATCGTGATTGTTTTTGCTGCCTGTCAAAGCTTTGTTGTAGCTCCCTCCAACAGTTGTTCCCACCGTCTCTCTCTCTCTCTGTCACTCGTCCTTGGTGCCAGTCTTTTCTCTGTCTTTTATCTTCTATCTGGTGTTGGCGAGCTTGCACGCCTCATCCTTTGCCAACTACTGTGCGTTGCTCCCGATCAGTGGGCTTGAGTAATAAAGCCCGGGGCTTGGAGACACAAAAGAGAGGAGGGAAGATGAAGCAAGAGGAGGGAGAAGGGTATGTAGGAAGAAAACAGGAGCCGATGAGGAGTGTAACAAAGGTCAACAAAGATCCAAAAGGGATTAAGGATGTAATGGAGCGGATAGGTCCGAAGCTCTAGTCCTTAGAGGCACCTGGAAGGAAAAGGCAAGAAGGACATAAAATAATAATAGTTAGAAACTTGACATTTATCGATCAATATGCACTCTAATTTAGCTGGAAAAATGCTCAGTTAAATAAATATTTGTTTTAAAAAAAGTTTATTTGACCCCTTAAAAGAAGCAGTTGTTTGTGACTTGAACTTAACTTAAAGGGTGGAGCTTTTAAATAAAGTTCTGCTCTCATTTGGGTGTCTTCATTTCTTATTTGAGGAAGTGTTTTAGTTTCGGTTGGCCATACATTGATTTCCACAGGGATCACTTCTTGTACCCCCTCTGTTCAACTCATAATTGCACCTTCTTGGCTTTATTGTTGATAATGGACAACTGAACATTTTTTTTTCTACCAACTTTCCCTTTGGAAATAACCAAATGACCTCCTCATTGATGCCAAACTATTCTTTTCCCGGGAGCTTTAAATTTGCATTCTAATAAATCTCCAACCTTAACCCTATTATCATGTCAAAAATCTATGTAACACTCCTTATTCTGATTTTTTATTGTATTATGAAATCAAAAACATACTCAAATTCAGATCCAGTTCTGCACAACTATACTTGGAAATATTTATCTATGCTTTTATAATAATATTTTTTTTTTATAGATTATTGTCCTGGATTTTGAAAGACATCACAAGATAAACAACTAATAAAAGATACTTTGCAATTAACTAAACTCAAAAACTTATAAATTGCCTCTAAAAGTCTCTCCATATGCTTCCATTAAAACAAAGAATAAAAAAAAGGTTTATTGTTGTTTGAAATGTTAGAAAAAAAGTTTGCTTGCTGAACAAAATCTATATAAAACCTTCAGCCAAGTTAAGATATTTTCTCCAGACCTACAATCAAATTATAAAAAGAGGCACTAAAAATAAACTTGATTTTGTAGGATACCGTATTAAAAATAAAAAATATAGAGGTAGTTATGTTAAAACTAAAAATGAAATTTTTTTTCTTTACCACATGAATTCCAGCTGTTTTTTAGATAATTACTGTTTCCTTGTTTTAACATAGCAAGGTACGCATTATCAGGGACTATATGTGACTCAGGAGGAAAGCTGTGAGAGTGAAATATAAATATCCGGACTGGTCAGCGATGGAAAAAACGTTATTTATACCTAAACTATTCAACCACCGGAATAAAGCCAGCCCTTATCTCAGACACAGTCATGACTTCACTGAAAAATCCCTGCTGCTGTGATGACCTATACCTAAAAAAAACACAGTTCTGGAGTTACCTCTAAAACAGTCACCCCAATTGTTTTAAACTGCACTCAGCTAAACTAACAGAACTAACCAACAGGCTGACATCTGTAGGAAACAGAAATTGACGCAGCTTATGAATTTAGACCAATCATATATTATTACAACATTTGCAAGTTAAAGTTTGTTTAAACAAGCTCAGTGCCTTGAAGACTTCTTTAATTCTTTTAAATTTCAAAATGCTTTGCCTTCCTTTATATGGAGATTGGTGACAACATATAAAAGTAGTTTTACACATTTTAGACAGAAAGAACAGCAGCGTTTCATGTTGGCATACATGTATTTTTCAATTATTTTCCTAAAACAACAGTCCTCCCAGTAAAACAAGCGTCAATGATACAAATCTGACTACGATTTATAAGCCTATTACTATCAACCATGTCCTGAAGAAGCCTTTTCGATGAGAAACATCTTAAAGTAAAGCACCGAGCATCATGCGGAGGGATGGTGCTTTGCTCAGATCAATGAAACTGTTAAGCCTTCATGCAAAATCTTATCTGCAACATGCAGCATAATCCTAAACACAATATTCCCACATAGTGGTGGCAGCCTCATGCTGTGGAGTCAGTTTTCCTCAGCATGGAGATTGAAGCAGACCAGAGCTTATAGAAAGGTAGATGGGGCAAAATACAGAAGGATTCTGAAAAACAGGGTAAAATCCCAAAAAAGCAAGGTCTCCCTCTATTCATGTACACCCCAGGGGAGGCGGCGTAAGTATCAAAGTCAGAGGGGTAAGGGTGCTTACAAAGTTTGCCATCATCAGAGGGGGAGCTTAGGTGCTAAAAAAGTAAAAGTTGGGGGTTTGTTCAGTTTAAGCAACATTTAAGATGTGATGATTTTAATGTATCTGTTCTAAAACCAAGTAAATCTTTTTCTAACGCGTTAACTGTGTCTGGTGTCTACATATTTGTAGCATCAAATTACTACAATAAGGCTAATGTCCACCATTACAACAGTTTTATATGCCAAGCTGCACCTTTCCAAGGGTCAAAAAACAGCAGCTGATTTAATGTAGACTTTTTTTAGGAGTTTCAAAATCTTTTTTAGTGATTTTGGTGTGGCTGGTGAACTAGTTAAACCTGGGCTAAGCTGCTAGGTGGAAGGGAGTCACAGAAGACTTTCATGATCTACCCACAGGACCTAAAAAAAGAGCTTTGGTTCAGCCTATTTATGTTAGAAACATCTGATCTAGAAACTTTTAGAATATAGATTATCCAGCCTGACTCGGCTTTATATTTTAAATAAGTATTGTTTTAAATAAAAATGACCAATATTTCTCTTCCCTACAGGTGAATTGCTGTTATAGACATGCCCTGTAAATACAGTGAGCTATGGCTCCAGCGAGCATCAACACACTTCTTTGATTTTCCATGTGAAAAATAAAAAGGAAGTTATATCTAGTTTTACTTCCAACCACATACTGTAGAATCCAAACCAAACTAGTTGATGTTTGTTGTTGGCAAATGTCAAAAGGTTCTAGCAACAAGCTTGACAGCCTCTATTGTATTAATGAACTGTTTTATTCTTGTTCATTTTCTGTGGCATAAACAACCATAGAGTAAAGTTAACACAGTGAGCAACAAAAATCCTTCTTTTCTCTTTTCAAAAATGAAGCATTTGCTTCATAAACCCTAAAGGCTGGGAAATCGGGCTGTGTAAGAGTACACATTGTAGGTATTGATTGCTATTGATTTACCCTATCTCTTTAAACAGATAGAGCTCAGACAGGTTCTCAGTTAGCATCACAGTCATAAAAGACACTCACTGCGGTAGTTTGTAACGATTTAGAGATATTACTGAATCAGATAAAAATCTGTGTAAAAATTCTGAGAAAGGCAACATGAACTTTGCACTGCTGTCAATAGAAAGCTAATTTCCTGCTATCGCTCGGTTTCACAGCACCGAGGGAAAGACACAGCTTCATGTTTGTTTCCAGCATAGCAACTGTGACAGATGCTATGTGCCATAAACTAGGCTCCAAGAGGAGGGAGGACAAAAGATGGCAAGAAAGAAAGAACCGAATGATGTTGGACTGTGAACGATCATTTTTACTGTGTCAGTGTTTCAGTGATAAAATTCCTCACAACTAACGTTTTTGCTCTGAATAGAGACCACGGAGTAAAGCAGCAATGTTCCCACCTATTTCCATGTATTATTGGCTAAGAAAAAAAGCCAATACACTTTTCCCTTACTTACAAGACCGACCAATCAGCAAATTGCTGATATTACAATTTTTCAGTTTTTTCTTTCCTGGAGTTAAAATTCAGTTGGCAGTCTATAGTATACTTGTAGATTTGGCAACAAACAGCAGGGTAATTATCTGAGCAGATAGCCAACTACACTACAAATATCATGCTTCTTTTGCATCTACTTAAGCATATTTATATCCTTTAACACAATTGTTTTATATTAGCAGGGTAGGACAGGAAACAATTGTGATAAAGTACTAAATAAGAAGATGCAAAAGATGCATGAGTTATTTTTCTCAGGGATTAATAGATACAGGTTAATCAACCACAGATCAAAATCAACCAGTTTTCCTTTACTATACTATAATCTGAGAAAGATTTTTCATTTTTTAACACTCTTAACGCTCCCAGAGTCATCAAATGCACTCATCTGAGTTTTATCCACAAAAATAGATACTTTTGGTGAACAAATGTAAATACTCTTTTTTTGTTGTTGTAATATAGTCCAAGAAAAAGAATACGGGCAAGTCAAACTGAAATCTGTAATGGGTCCAATAAAGCCTGATTGGTGCATCTCTAGCAGAGGAAAGGGAACAATTGCAATAATAAAACAGTCCACCATAAAGAAAAGATCCATGAATTCATTTTTTTTATTTACATCTGAAGTCCAGTTTTGTTATACATACCTAATAAAACTGGTCGATTGTTACTGGAAATATAAATTAAGATTTTTTTTCAACCAATATTGAGTTAGGATAATTATCATTGAAGATGTGTGAGTTAATCACACCCTGGTATGGGCTGCCCGTTGCACGTCAGAACTGACGTTTTTAATCTAATTAGGCCAGAATTCCTCTGTCTGGATATATAGCTATAATCTTCATTTGTACATGGCAAAGATTTTGAAATAGAATGCGAGCGGTGTCCTATTTTGATAAGGCTGGAGCCATGGATGTCTAATCATCTGCTAATGTGTATGATGTAAAATAAGATGATGTGGCAGACTGGAGATGTATAAAATGCCTTTTTAACTGTTGATCGGAGCCACTTCCTGAGAGGATTAAGATTACAATTTCTATCAAAATCTGTTGTCATGTCTCCTGGTTATTTAATACATATAAGTTATGAAATGTTATTTAAAGTTTGTCCAGAGTTATCTCTTTTCAGGGAAAAGAACCAGAGAGATGGAGCATCAGGGTGCATTCACAAAGCCAATCTTTAACAATTGCAATTTGATTTTCCTTTGCACTAACCACCTGTTTGTAGATTTTTCACTCAAGGGTTTCATATTTTTCGAGAAAGAAAACATACCAATGTTGGGCTGACTTTTCAAACATGTAAAATTCGTTTAATAAGAATCAATAAAATCGGCATAGTAAAAGCCTTTTTCATATCTCTTATTGAAAAGTGCCCTAACTGCTAAACCTCATGATGCACATTGTCAACAGATTAAGCTTTTAGATTTATTAGATTTTTTTTAATCTCTCAGGTATCCTGGCTGGAAGGGGAATATTTCTACTGTTTC